AGGCCCAGAGGATTAAATTGACTTACTCAAGGTCACTCAGTAAGTGGTGGCGCTAGGATGCAAACCCAGGTCTGTTTTTAAGAGCAGCAGGTCTTGGGATCTGGGTTTTAGTCCTGGCTCTGTTACCCACTGGCTGTGTGATCTTAGGCAGGTCCCTTTTCCCTCTCTGGGACTGTTTCCTCATTTATATAAGAGTGTTGTGTGTGGTTTTTTTTTTAAATGTTTTTATTGATTTTAGAGAGGAAGGGAGAGGGAGAGAGAGAAACAATGATGAGAGAATCTGATCAGGCTGCCTCCTACACGCGTCCTACTGGGGACCAAGCCTGCAACCTGGGCATGTGCCCTGACCTGTGCACGGGATGATGCTCAGCCAACTGAGCACACTGGCCAGGGCATGAGTGGTTTGTTCTTGATGATATCTACAGGCCCTTCCAGCTCTGATGGTCTGACAGTTTAATCTCAACTTCCATTGGATTATTGCTCATTTCACAAAATTTGGGTTCTGCTGGCATAACTATAAAGCAGAGCTTTTCTCTGGCCTCTGGGTCTTCAGACCCCAATCTAGAAACATCTGGCTCATCCACTTCTCCCCATCTGCCCTGGAAGGAGGACCTGGAGCCGACCAGGTGCTTTCCCTCATTCACTCAATAAGCTTTTTATCCAGCACGTTGACTCTGCCCGGAGGTGCTGGGGGAACAAGAAAAAAGAACAGCCCTTACTAACTGGCTCCCTCCAGGGGCCAGGCCCTGTGATAGGAGCTTTACATGGGAATTCAATGTTGCCACCAATCTATGAAGTAGGTAGAATCCTTATGTAACAAAAAGGGTGCAAGAACCCAGAAGGTTAAGCACTTGTTCAGTGGCCACACAGCTAATAAGTGTTGGGACTGGGAATTAGCCCCACGAGGAACCTCAAGCAGGATATGATTCTGAAGGGGTTAAACCAACAACCATTTTCCTCAGGCTTTTGCTCGAAGATAATCACATGTACTTTGGCTGCGTGGATTTAACAACAGCCACCTGTGTGCCAGGTGCTTTCCATGAATGGCCTCACTGAAACCTTATCACAACACGTGACGTAGGCTTTACAGGTGAGGAGGGTGAGACTCCGAGAGATTCAGTGACGTGCCCCAGTTCGCACAGCTGCGAGGCAGTGGTGCCAGGATTTGAACCTACGTCTTCCAGACTCCACAGTGTGATATTTCTTTCTTCACAGGTGCTCTCTTTTCTGCTGTGGCCTGTGTGAATGGCCTGGCCATGCTGATGGCCTCCAGCATCTTCAACTCGCTCTACCCAGCCACCCTGAACTTCATGAAGGGGTTTCCCTTCCTCCTGGGAGCTGGCCTCCTCTTCATCCCTGCCATTCTGATTGGGTAACTTAGGACTCTGTCCCCGGCTCATGTGCTCTTTATCCCAAAGGTTCCCTCTTCCTCCTCCTGCCGACCAGAAATGGCCGCCTGGACCCCTTCCTGTGGGTGTTTCAGGCCCAGCCTGACTCTCTGACTCTCCCCCTGCAGATGGCTGCCTAATCCTCTGGAGCCACTTCCCTAGGGCAGGACAGGGGGGCAGTAGGGGAACCTTGCTTCTTGGCAAGGTTGGTCTCTCCCCTTCGTCCCGCTCCATCCGCATTTTACGGATGGAACTATGGCGACAAATCTGCCAAAGGGAAGCCGGAGAGCCTCCTTGGCTGGTTGTGGCTGGGCCACAGGCTGGCCTGCCCACTGACTTCTGCCCCCATAGCCTTCCGACTCCCTTTCCAGAACCCTCTTCTCAGGATGTTGCCTTTCACCTCTATGTTGGGAGGGGGATACCCGTACCGGCCCACCCAGCAAAGCCCGTGTCGCTTCTTCAGGAGTTGAAGAGGGTTCCCCCATATGTCAAATCTGAACCCTCTCTCTGGTCTCTCGCAGGATTCTTGGAAAGACTGAGCCTCGCTCTGAATTCCAGCAGTTTCCCCAGAGCCCCTGATCTGCCCAGACGTGAGAACAGAGGGCAAGAGGGGTGAAGTGAGCACTCACCAGCTGGAAGTATGCCCCTGGGACCCCACCCACAGCAGCAGCAGCAGCTCCCCTCAAAGGCAGTGTTCACCCTGGATAAGGTGGTCAAGCTACACCAGGGCCCCCACCTCATCCAAAGCTTGCCAGCCTATGACTCGAGGATCTGGAATTGTAACCCAGACAGTCTGACTCCAGGGCAGGCAGTGGCGGGGGGGACATTTGGAACAGGGGTCTCTGTTCATCCTCTATGCAATTACATAAAACCCTCCAGGGGAGAGAGGAGGTCCTGATGGAGGTGATGCCTCAGGGACCAGTTGAAGCACGAGGGCTGGCATCTCTGCTTCCAACTCATCGTGAGCAGCCACCAGCCATGCCTTAATGACGAATATTTCGAGGGGAGGAAGGGTTGTGGGGATGGAGAGAGAGTGCTACGGACTCAGTGGAATCAAGCCCCTGGGCTTAGCAGTGCCAACCATCATAATAAATCAGTATAAGCACACTGACATGAATCGTCTGGTACCCAAGGCATTGGGCTGTGGGCCCTTTATTTTCTGTCCCGTTTGCCCCCATGGGTCAGACAGCAGCTGCTGGGCTGGGCAGAAGCCCCTGAGCTGCCATGGGATTGGTCCTGGGCGTGGCCAGCCCAGACCTCATCTGACCGCCCATTCTCTTCTCCTGAGCTGCTGGGAGATGAAGGGCTGCCAGACTTGCATCAAGCCAAGCAGGGAGGCTTGGAGCAGAGCCCTGGCCGCTCATTCTGAGGGTTAGATCCGCTCCCTGAAGGCGCCAGTACTGGTCCCCCTGGCAACAACAGCCCAAGCAGAATTAGTTTTTATCACTCAGCCCTGCAACACCTCCCATCGCCAGGTATTTCAGCCGGGCCTTGTGCTGAGACCGTGCCTCAGCCTGGATCTGAAGTTGCAAAGGCAAAATTGGATTTGATATTAAGGTACCATAAGCCCCCAAGCAGACCCAGATCAGGTGGTACTTGACTCTTCAAACCAGACTTGGCCACAGGGTCCAGCCCCCTAATGCCATTTCTACCCCATTCTCTCTTACCAGCCCTGCCAGTCAGTCTCCTGGCTGGAAATCACTCAAGTAAAGTGGGTGTGGCCTAGGGCAAACCAAGGTCAATGTGGCCTTTACAGCCCAGGCCTGTTTCTAGATTCCCACCTCACTGTCCCCTGTTATTGGAAGACTGGAGCAAGAAGAGGACAATCCATTGATTGTCCCAGCATGAGGCAGGAGGGGGACGGGGGGAGGAAGGCGCTGGGCTGGGCTCAGACCTGGGCTCTACTCCAGCCACTGCCTGGTCCACAGGTGACCTTGAGCAAGCCCATCTACGAAAGGCTGGATCTGATCATGGTTGGACAGGTTAGGAAACACTGGGTTAGAGGTAATATTCTGAGATCCTTTCCGCCTCATATGTTCTAGAATGAGATGCCTCTCTTTGTGGACCTGGGGGAAGAATAAATGAGTTGGAGCTGGACTTTTGATCTTTGAGTGTCCCTGAGCAGTTCTTGGTCCCTGGGGAGGCGTGGGGTAGAGACCTAGTTGACTCAGCTCCAACATGGGAACAGCAGCTACAATCCAGCCAAGCAGAAAACCCTGGCCCTGCAGACCTGCGTCAGAGCAGGCTTTGGGGGAAAGGCTAATTCTCAGCTCTCTGCTTCAGGGCCAGCCCTGTGAGGCCAGGCCTAGGTGGAAGGTGGCCAAGGTGCCTGCCCTGTCACGGCAGGGAGGCAGTCCCGAGAACACTCAGGCTTGGCTGCGGGGAGGGTCATCACTTCAGCTGCTGGGGGGTTTGGGGGGTGGGGAGGCTGAGCTCTGATTCCCCAGAGAGACAGGAGGGGCAGCACTGGAGGGTGTGCCAAACAGAAAAAACAGGGCTGCAAACCTCTCTGAGCACTGTCCATGGGGGACCTCAGGAGGGAGTGGGATTGGGGACAAAAAGACAGAAAGCTCCTGGAGGGTATTCGCCACACTGTATTGTTACTGCCTCTGCTCTGTGAGGGCAATGTCTAGTCTGCCTTAGTCACCATCAGAGCCAGGGCCCGGCAGCGGTGGGCCCCCTGTTGGCATGAACAAGAAAGTGCAGTCAAAGCCAGAGTTGGGGCTAGGGCCAGCTAAAAAGTGTCTTTGGCAGGGAGGGGAGTGGAAGAAGTACCGAGGGGGGAGTGAGACCTTTGACTTCCTGACCATGTGGCTCAAGAGCTAAGAGTGACCTGGCCAGCACCTGCAGGAGGCACTCTGGGAGCTGAGCCAGCCTTGAGGTGCGAACACGCTACTCAAGAGGGAAGAGGCAGGCCTGGTTAGCTGGAGCCTTCCTACCCTCCTGGAGGAAGGGGCAGAGGGGTGTTCCTGCTCATTTATGTCCGTAGAGCCCCTGGGTCAAAAACCTATCCCCACTTCTAGATTCTTTGGGCCGAGGAAGAAGCCAGCTGTCTGTGGAGCGGCAGCCCAGCCGGGTCTCAGCCTCCAGAATGATTCTCAGGAGGGCAGTGCCACCAGCAGTGGGCTGAGCACCAGGAGGCCAGGTCTGCATCCTGGGCTGCCACTCATGGCTTAGAAAATGGCACATCATTTGACTCCTCTGTAAAACGGAGATCACACCGGATAATGTAAAATGGCTCTGATGATTGCGGAGACCATGGAGCGGGGTGCCGGGGAGCTGGTAAAGGGGGGTGAGGGGTTTGTATTTCAGAGCCTGGCTACTTAAAGTGTCATTTCTTGACCACCATCATGGGCTCACCTGGGAATCAAAAATGCAGAAATCCAGGCCCCATCCCAGGTCACCTGAATGGAATTGTAACAAAATTCCCAGGTGGTTTGAATGTACCCCCTGCCCTTCCTCAGGACACTGCCTCCTCCCAAGGAGCTGCAGGCTCTGCCCAGGCTACTGCTGGGAGGGGCTGGGGAGGCCAGCTGAGCTGGGGGGGCAGGAGCCTGAGGCACAGCACCAAGGCATGGGAGGGTGGCTGGCAGCCCTTTGGGACATGGCCGCCGCTGCCCAGGCCCGAGCAAGGAGTGCCATGTACCTGTGAGTGCTTCCAACCCAGCCGCAGCTGCAAAGCAGCCAGAGGAGGGGCTGGCTCAGCCCAATCCCGACCCAGGATGTGGCGAGAGAGGCTGTGCCTCAGGGAGGCTAGGAAGGGACTTGGGACCAGACCAGGTCAGCTAAGGACACTGAGTGATTCCAGGGCAAGGCCACAGGGCGGCAGGAAGTGGTGAGCCTGAGGACCAGCGCAGTGTAGGTGGAGAGCCATCAGTGGACTTTTATCCCTGCTGGTTCCCAGGCCCAGGCCGCTGGGCTGGGTGGACTGGGCATTGCCTTAATTCCTGTCAGAGGCTGCCTGATGTCCCCTACTCAAGCTGGCTGATGTCAGGGCAGGAGAGGGGGTTGTGTGCAGCGAACCCTTGCTCTTCAGTGTCTCCAGAACTGATCCGTGACCCTCCCACACCTGAGACAGAGAACCTGGTGGCAGGGCTTAAGGGTGGTCTAACCCTTACCGCCCCCAATGCCTCGCTTCCCTTTCTGGATACTGAGGAAGCTGGGTTTGAGGTGGCCCATGGGGGTCTGGGAGAGGGAGAGCCATTTCCTGAGAAGGGCCCAGGCTGTCTCAGCCCAGGGAGGCCGGTGTGCGGAGCTGCTCCTTCCAGGGAGACCATGGAAATGGGGGTCACAGCAGGACGTGGGGACTGGGGACTGGTTAAGTCGGGCCCATGGGTGTAACACCCTCCAAACTGGTGTCAGAGCCTGCAGACGAGTCCCGGGAGGAGCGGCCCTGCAGGAAGCGGATGATCTTCTCAATGGTGGCCTCCTGGTACTCGTGGGACCACCTGTGGGCACAGAGGCCGCGGGTCAGAGGGCCGGGAAGAGGGAACTGCTGGCTGGAGGCCTGTGTACCCACCACCCCCTCCTCACTTGATGCCGTTGAAGCTGAGCACGGCCTGCATGTCCTCGGGCAGGGCCTGCGGTTCTGGCCACTCGAAGCCATCAATGACGGGCACAATGTTCTTGCCACAGCTCAAAGCAGTCACGATCTCCTGGAGAAAGGAGGGAGGAGGAAGAGATCAGGGTCCCCTAAAGTCCACCTTGACTTCTCGCTCACCCTTTGTGGTAGAATAAACAATATTTGGTCTTTGTCCTCGGTTCTTAGCACAGAGCTCTTCTAACCTCCAGATATCTGGGTGAAGGTGCCTAGATAGCTTCAGGATGGGGACTGGTAGGGGGTGGAGATCAAGGTCTGATTAGAGGGTTGGAACTTACAGCTCCCTCACCCCAACACACCCCCAGGGAGGGGAGGGGGGATGGAGATTGAGGTCATTCACCAACAGCCAATGACTTAATCATAGCCACATAATAACACCTCCATCAGAGCGCCTAAACATGGGTTGAGCACATCTAGGTGCTGGGAGAGTGTCCTGGAGAGGACATGGGAGCTCTGGGCCTCGCCTGCCTGCGTCCCCACCCCCTACCTTGCCCTCATATCCTTTATAAAAATCCAGTAGGTAAAGTGCTTTCCTGAGCTCTTCACATCATTTCAGCAAATTATTGAGCCTGGTGTGGAGAGTCATGGGAACCCCTGAATTGTAGCCAAGTCAGAAGTGTGGGTAGCCTGGGAACCGGGGACTTTCGACTGGCATCTGAAGTGAGGGCAGACTTGTGGGACAGAGCCCTGCTACCTGTGGAGTCTGACACTCCCTGTGGGTAGTTACTATCAGAATTGAATTGAGTTGTGGGACACCCAATTGGTGGTGAGTTGGAGAACTGGTTATTGGTGTGGGAATAAACCCACACGATTTGGTGTCAGAAGAAAAACATCACACCCCCCTGCATCCAAATTGATCCATCACAAGCCCTGCAAAGTGTACTCTTTTTTCTTTCTTACTTTTCAAATCCACCCGTTTTTCTCTCCCTGTACCCCACCACTCTCCTGCTCCATCCTCCTCGCTTATCTTCATCCTCCTCCAGGTCTGTTCGCATCCATTTCTTGCTCCCTTCTGATTTGTTCTCTACATGGCCCCTTCACCCAGCTACTCTGCAAAATGCAAATTTGAGAATGTCACTCCTTACTTACAACTCCCCAGGACTTTACATGGCTCAGAAAAGAAGTTCAAACTCCTTAATGTCTGCAGGTCCTGCGTGGCTGGCCACAGCTCACTTCTCAAACTCCATGTCTGCACTGACCTCCCGGCCACACAGACCCTGCAGCCCCTTAGATTTGCCCTCCTCCCTCCCTGCACAGGGCCTTTGCACATGCTGTTTCCTCTGTCTGGAATGCTCTTCACTGTGCTAATGCCGACTCATTTTTCTGATCTGCAGCCAATCAACACTTTCCCAGGGAAGTCTTCCCTCACTTTCCTGACCAGGTCAGATTCCCCTATTATAGGCTCTCATAGCTTCTGCAGCACATGCTAGAGTTAAAAATTTAAGTTAATTAATGAGTGATTTACTTAATATCTGTCCTTCCTAGCAGATAAAAGTGCAGGGATGAGGTTATATCTCAGTATCTCCCGCAAAGCCATGCCCATAGTCAACCCTTGCTTAATACTTAATGGATGGCTGGATGAATAAATGAATGAGACAACATAGCATAGCAGTTAGGGAGCGTACTCTGGAATCATCAGATCTGGGTTCACATTGAGTCTACCACACAGACTTTGTGACCTGAGGCAAAAACAGCTGGCTCTCAAAGCCTCTGTTTTCTCATATATAAAATAGGGTTGCCCTGGCCAGTGTCGCTCAGTGGTTAGAGTGTCAGCCCACACACCAAAGGATTGCAGGTTCAATTCCTGGTCAAGGGTATGTACCTGGGTTGCAGGATCCCTAGTTCCACACTCGGAGCTTGTGCGGAAGGCAACCCATTGGTGTGTTTCTCTCACACCGATGTCTCTCTCTCACTCCCCCTCCCTTCCACTCTCTAAAAATCAATGGAAAAAATATCCTCAGGTGAGGATTAACAACAAAAGAGGGTGAATGACAGTCCCTATCTTGTAGGATCACTGGAAGGAATAACTACGATACCCCATGGCAAGTGGTTAGAACAGCTCCCAGCATGTAGTGCGCTTAATAAATAATAAGTGCTATTATTTCCTCCTCTGTAAAGGGGATAATAAACCTACTTCACAAGGTTGCTCTGAGAATATTACTTACTATTCATGGGTGCTCTGGTAAGTGCTTATTCGATGGGTTTTTTCCCTTTGAAAGGGGAACCACAGGGATTGGATTTCCCTGAGTGCAGTTCACTTGTGGTTTTCCATATTGATTACCCACCAAATGTGGCTTCGGGGAAAGGAGTTTTAAAACCAAAGGCAATTAAGCTCTAAAAACTACCGAGGAGCGATGATGGAGCCTTTGTTACTGGTCCAAGGCAAAGGCTCCCACCACCGGCCTGCCTCCTCCCTCCTTGCAGTCTGCTGGGTGCCAAGACCCTTGAGCACAGCCTTCCTGGGAAAGTCCCTGCATAACTTCAACCCTGACTGACTCCTGGGGAACCTCTCCATTGCACAAATGAGAAGGTTTGTGTTCTTAATTCCTTTGTGCCTCTCACTCTGCTCCCCTGCCCCTCTTCCCTCCTGGAGGTTATATTTCAAAGTATGTTCATCTCTCTCTGACCCTCACAACAATCCTACAAAGTGAATAGGACAGGTAAGTTACCCCCATTTTGTAGATGAGAGACATGGGTCCAGAGAGCCTCAGTGGCTTGCTGGAGTTCTATTACAGTCTGAGTTGTGACTCCTGACTTCCAGCTGGGCCATGGAGGTTGCTGGGGTGTGCAGATGAGAAGGAACAGGAGACCCTTGTCCCTGGGCCACAGGCCAAGGCTGGGACCACAGAGATAGGCCAGCACCTACCTTGTGCACCCAGTCCTTGCAGTCATGGTCCTGCATGCACTTGTCCAGGGCCCCGGCTGACAGCACCAGCACAAAGTTGCGGGCACCCATGACACTCTGGATGAGCTTGTCCTCAAACTTGCCGGCTTCCAGTTTCTCCACGTCAATGAAGACATTGAAGCCATGCAGCTGCAGGTGCACCTTCAGGAGGCTGTGAAGAGGCCGTTTGTCACTGCGCTGGCCTCACCCAAAGGCCTGAGGCTGCCTGCCTGCCCCCTCCTCCTCACCTGGCCAGCTGGGAGCCTGAGCTCCGGCGGTAGCTGATGAAGACATCCGGAATGTCCCCACTCGGCTTGCAGCCAGTGCAGGGCAGAGGGGAGTGTAGCATTTCTGAGGGGGACAGGAGACAGCTTGGTGAGGGTGGCCCCTCACCATTACTCATAATGAGGTACATCGTCCCTTGGGGTCTACAGGAAGGAAGGCCGCTAACTCTTGGTGAGTCCCTCTCAGGAGGCAGGCGTGGTGTTTTAGGGACATTGAAATGCACCTGCATCCCTGCCCGCTCTCTGGAGCTCCAGACCTGCACAGCCAGCTGCCCACAGGCACTCCAAACCCAACACATCCTAAACCCTTCCTCCTACTTTCCCACCAGTCAGAGACCTGGGTGTCAGCCTCAACTCCTGCCTCTCATCCATTCACTCAACCATGTTTACTAAGCGCTTACTGTGTGCCAGGCCCCAGTTTTAGTGCTTGGGATACAGCAGTGAGCAGAACCAACAAACCCTGCCCTCATAGAGCTGATGTTCAGTGCCCAGCGCCAGGCACCATGCTCTGTGGATTCTTCCTACTAAACAACTAGACTCCAGCCTCAGGGCCCTCCTTATGTCCCCCAGCTCTAGCCTTCTCAGTGGTCTCCCCAAATCCACACTCGCCCAGGCTAATCTGTTGCACAGCTACCAAAGGGATCTTTCTAAAATCCAAGTCTGAACATGTCATTGCTCCCTACTCCCTGTAGAAGAGAGATTTGTAAGCTATTTTTCCCCTGTAGGATCCTTTTTAAAAAAAAGATTCTTAAGGCTTTCCTGAGAGCTGCAAAGTAAAAATGACCAAATTTGACCTGCTTTGGTTGAAGCAAAAGCATGGGACAAAGCTCAGTAAGTACTTGCTGAATGAATACATGAATGAAAAGAATCCATCCTATATAATAAAAGGGTAATATGCAAATCAACAAAACGGCAGAACAACCAGTCCCTATGACGCGCACTGACCACCAGGGGGGAGACACTCAATGCAGGAGCTGTCCCCTGGTGGTCAGTGCGCTCCCACAGGGGGACAAGCTGGGCTGATGGCTGGTGCAGTGGTGGTGGTGGGAGCCTCTCCCACCTCCGCGGCAGCGCTAAGGATGTCCAAGTGGCGACTTAGGCCCGCTCCCTGAGGGCGCCCAAACTGCTAAAGGGCAAAGGCTAGGCTGAGAGACCCCCTCTCCCCCAGTGCAGGAATGTCATACACCGGGCCTCTAGTCTTCTCATAATATTCAGACTTAACATCCACAGACAACTTTTATCTGTTTATGAAGCAGGAAGGAAGGGTTTCAAATCTTAATTCTGTTATTTAATGGCTTTTAAACATTGGAAAATACTTTTAAATTCTTTAAATCTTAGTTTTATCATCTTTAAAATTAACATCCTTGATGGAAATATTCTTTATCTCTGATTTTGATGGTATTTACACAGGAGTAGGCATGTTTCCAAACCCTTCAAACTGGACACTTTTAAGTTAAATTATACTTCTTTCATTCTTTAAACAGTTTTAAAAGTTGATTGAAAAAATTAATACCCACTTCATCAAATGGATGTAGAGATTAATGAGACAATGACTGTTCAAAACTTAAGCTCAGTTGGCTTGGCTCAGTGGTTGGGTAAACCTATGAACCAGGAGGTCACGGTTCAATTTCTGGTCAGGGCACATGCCTAGGTTGCAGGCTTGATCCCCAGTACAATGATTGTCTCTCATCAATGATGTTTCTATCTTTCTCTCTCTCTCCCTTCCTCTCTGAAATCAATAAAAAAAATTTTTTAAACTTCATACAGGACCTGGCATATAGTAATTGACAATAAAGATTGGCTAAATAGTAAATTAGTAAATTAAATAGTAAATAAAGAGGGTTGCTAGAGCCCTCATGACCTCCCTAAAGTATCTCTAGAACCCATACTGTGCAGGTTGTTGTCTAATAGAATAAGCCACCTGTCTTCCCACCCATATCTCGCATATGGACCCCCCATGCTCTGTCTCACCTGCACATGCGGCTCCCTCTGTCCTGCCGCTGCTACCCCGACCCCCACCCACCCAGGATATCCTTCAAGACCTGGTCAGACATCCTCTAAATGCCTAGACCTGGGTGGACAGGGCATCCCTCCTGCTGTGGTCACCCCCCTGCCTTCCTCCTACCACAGCAGACTGGGAACTTCTTGAGGGCAAAGTGCAACACATTCATCCTCGCATCTTCAGAATCCAGTCTGGCACAGCGCTGGCTCCGGGCCCCACCACATGTCTCCCCTCGCCCCTCCAGGGATGGAGATGGGACAGGGGCGGGTCTCACGCGGGCAGGCTGACCTCTGGCGGCCATGAGGATGCGCATGCGGTGCACGCCCAGGCGGATGCCGCAGTCCTCTAGCAGCTGCTGCTCGGACACGCGGTGCAGCAGGGAGCGGTCCAGGCCGCAGCTGACCAGGCCGTACGTGTACTGGCGGAAGCGCGGGTCCAGGCTGCCCAGCCAGTCAGCCAGGTTGCTGCGGTCGCACGTAGCGTAGTTGGCGAAGGTCTTGAGCTCCCTGAGTTCCCTAAAGAATCTGCACCCCAGGGAGGAGGGTCACTGAAGTCCTGACTCAGACCGGCTAGTGGCCGAGAGGGTGTTGAGAGTGGGCGGGGGTAGGGGGGCGGGAGGCAGCAGGAGGCTCCATACCTCTTGCGGGTGATGCTGGATATCATGCCCAGGTCCGTCTGGAGTTCCTCCTCCGTGAGCCGCAGAAGCAAGTCGCCATCTACCTGCTGCTCCTGGGGTGGAGTCGGAGGTAAGAAAGAAGGAAGGGCTCCCCATCTCAGCCCTGGACCCCCAAGCACAAGATGCAAGGGGAGGGAACTGGAGACGGAGGTAGGGGAAGAGGATAAGACCCTGATCAGAGCCAAGTGACCCTGAAAATTGCTGAGTACAGGCTCTCCACCCCAAAAAGGCCACGCTGGCGCCTCGGGCCTGCGGGACAGGAGGGGGCAAAGTGGCCTGTGTGCATGGCGCCCCAGGGGCCACGCGTCCTTGGGGATGCGCAGGCTCTGACTCCGGGAGGCAGCCCTACGCGCCGCTATACCCGGAAGCGTTCGCAGTACTGGGAGAAGCCGATCTGCTGCAGCCACGTCTGGACCTCGGCCTCCTTCCAGCTGGGCACGCAGGGCAGGATGGGCCTCGGCACCTCCTCGCCCAGCAGGCGCAGCGCACGCTTGGCCAGCGCTGAGGTGGTGCCATTGGTGGAGTAGGAAACCAGGCGTTTCAGGCTCTGGATGGCACCGATGTCACTGAAGACCTAGGGAGAGGTGAGGAGAGGGTGCCTTGTACCCACCAACTTTCCAGCCAGCCACCCCAAATGTGCCCAGCTTCTTCTCACTGTTGAAAGTCCCACCGTCTGCCCTAGCCCTGCCTTCATCCAATAATCATGGAGTCTGAATTCCTCCTGAAGCTCTCTCAAAGCTCTTAACTCTTCATGTCTCCCCTCCACAGCTTCTGTCTGTCCTGCGGATAAAGTCTGAGCTCTCAGTATGGCGGCCAGGCCTGGCACAGTGCAGCCTCTGTCCACAACTCCAGCTCACCTCCCCTTTCACCAACCCACACTTGTCTGACACCCCCCACAAAGGTTCTCCCACCTCTGGCCTTGGCCCAACGTGTTCCCAGACCCTTGGTTCCTCCAGCCTGTTTGGGGGAATCCTATTCATCCATTGGAATCCAAATCGATTCCTCCCCCAGTTTGGCCCACATCTCCAGTTTGACCTTGTAGTTTGACCTTGTACCACACTCTGAATGCCACTGTCATTAGTTGATAATGCAATTGCCACTGGGTGATAAGCTGAGGTCATGTCTTAGTCACCCCAGGAGTCCTGTGCAGGCCACAGAGTGGGGGCTTACTATGTCTTTACTGAACTGCACTCACTAGCTTGGCTGGGAAAGGGGTGCAGAGCTGGTGGTCATAGCTGCTGCCCAATACTTCCCTACTCCAACTCTCCTCAAGGCTCTTCTCCCAAAGCAAAGTGACCCGCTCTATAAAGCCAGTCCTCCCATGGCCCATCTCTGGAGCAGGCACAGAGAGGAGAATCAGAAACTCCTAGAACACTGGACCTTGGAGGAGGCCTCAGAGACCCCCTAACACCAAGTGTCTCCTTGATCTGTGAGGACACACACGATGCATGACAATCATCTGAGAGACACACTCCTCTGAGCAGCCCCAGCTGACAGTTGTGGTACAGACAGGGTGGTTCATGTGGTGTGTTCCGCTCTCTGTGCACCAGCTGTCACCAACCCCCCAAATTCCCAAAGGAACAGAAAGTAGGGAGGGTGACACTATAGGGATAATCTTGATTCTGTAATATTTTTAAAAATAAAATTTCAGACTTTTGATACTTTAACTATTACTAGTCCCATATCCAGGGTAAGAACTACTGCTGTGGTCCGTCCACTCCTTCAATTTTCCAGAGGATAAAAATGAGACACAAAAGAAGGGAAGCCAGATATCCACGGTCACACAGCAAGTTAGAGAAGAGGGCAAAGGTTTCAGATCAGGCCCTGGGCACGGGGGCTTATGGGGACTCCGGTGGGAGTTCTCTGGCAGACACACTGACAACCTGCTCCTCTGTCTCTACACTCCCTCTCCTTCCTGGACTCCAGACCCAAATGACAAAATGGCCCACGGGAGCTCTCTACCTGCTCATCTCTCATGCACCTCATATTCGATCTGTCCCAGTGAACTCACTTTCTTCCCCTCCGGGACTCCAGCCTGCCTCTCACACAGCTCACCTTATTTCAGTACCTGGTGCCACCATCCACTGGGTCCAAAGTCAGGAGTCACCCTCAGCTCCTCCCTCTCCTTCACCCGGCCACCCACCACGTCCTAATTCTAGCTCTTCAGCACCTCTGGAAGTAGGCAGCTACTTCTCTCTGCCTCTCTCTGGACTAGTCCTGACCCCCACCATCCCAACTGCACCCCTGCCATGGCCTCCTATCTGGCCCCCTTTCCTCCAACCTCACCCTTGCCAATCCCATCTCCAGGCAGCACCTGGGTAATCTTTATAAAACACGTGTCCCTCTGCTTTAAAACCTTGGTCTTGCCTGCAAGACCAGAATAACTGGTTCCTCATCCTTCTCCTTGCTTTGGGAAGCCTTCCCAAATGCTAACCCCCATCTTCACTCCGCACCCGCACCTGCACCCGCACCTTGGTCTTGCCCTGCAGGCTCTTGATGGCAGCTTCAGCGCACAGATAGAACGCCCCGATGCACTGGGCCTCCAAACGCGAGGAGTCGAGCAGCGGCACGAGGCGCTGCAGGTCGTCGGGCCCGCGGCCCTGGCTGGTGTCGCTGGCGTCCACCAGGCAGCGGGCGAAGCGGCCGGGGTCCAGGGAGGCCACGAGCGGCTCCACGAGCTCCAGCGTGCCCGAGCGCTCCACCTCGCGCTCCACCTCCTTGTTGGTAGCCAGCACCGCCACCGCGAGGCAGGCGTGCAGCCGCAGCAGCTCGTCCTCTTTGGAGAAGGCGAGAGGGAAGAGCCACTCGGCGGCGCGCTTCTCCACCATGCGGCGCTGCGCCGCCTGGCCGCCGTGCAGGGCGCAGTTGCCCAGCGCCAGCGCGCAGTGGCGGAGTAGCGCCGGGTCGGTGCGGCGGCACCAGTACAGCACCGCATCCAGGCCGCCGGCCGCCACCAGCCGCTGGCACGTCTCCTCCGAGTGCTTGAACATGTGCTCCAAGATGCCGGCCACACTCCGAGCCAGCTCCACCGGCTCGCGTTCCTTTGCCAGGTTCAGGATGACGCCCAGCCCGATGCGCGCCACGCGGTCCCTGCCGGAAGAAAGTGGAGGGGACGGTGGAGTTGCCGGGCCTGCGGCGTCTGGCTTGTCCCCTGGTCACTAGTATACTCTGTGGACCTCATATAAGACATGAGGGAGAGCGTTATTCTCCCTGCCTCCCCCACCCCCCAACCCCCTCACCTCTTGCCTGGGAGGACCAGACTTCTCTGATTATAAGGGTGCTTTCTCCTGGCCACACCCATTCCCTTTCCTATACCCTCCCTTGGAGAAGCTATATGGGTCCTGGTTAAGAAACCTAGCTCTGGAGCAGATCCCCTGGATCCTGCTTTCAAATTCTTTGCCATTTTCTAGTTGCGAGACCCTGGGTACCTCCCTTTACCTTTCTACCTTAGTGTCCTCATCTCATAAATAGGATTATAAATACCTACTCTATAGGTTTATGGTGAGAAATGAATGTGATAATCCATGTAAAGTGCTTGCCACAGTGCCTGGCACATAGGAAAGACTCAATGTTAACTTCTTATCATCATTTGAAGTGTCACTTGAAGCACACCACTCCTGGCCTTGCCTTCAAACTTCTCTTCACTCCATGCTGCACGACTGAGTGTATTTATTCATTCATTCAACAGACATGTATTGAGAACCTACTGTGTGCCAAGCACTGAGCTAGTGGCTGAAGTTAAACAGTGACTAAGAGTGACTCAGCTAATATGGAGACAAACAATAAGCAAATAAACAGGGAATGAACAGGATAATAGTGATATGGCCAGAAGGATAGCAAAACCAGGTGACATAATGGAGAGTGCTTGGGTGCAGGGATATATCTGAGGAGATGCCATCTGAGGGTTAAATGTCCAGAAAGCACTGCCTGCAAGTATCTGGGAGAACATAATACGCAGAGAGGACAGCCAGGACAAAAGCCCTGAGGGCTGATGAGCCTGACATATTTGAAGAATAGAAAGCCAGAGATATTTGCAGTGTCTAAAACCAACAAGGAAAAATATAAAACCAACAAGGGATTCATATATAATCTATATAAGTAAATATAAGTAAATATTCGAATCCACAAGAAAAAGGCGATAAATCCAATAGAAAACGGGCAAACGACACAAATGAGCAACTTACAAAAGAGGAAATCCAAAATGCTAACAAAGCGATGCTCTAACTCATTATTAATCAGAGAAGTGAAAATGAAAACAGCAATGACTTTACACCTATTAGGCAAAAAGCAGAAGCTGGGCAACACGAAAAATTAGTGAAGTGTGGGGCCATGAACACCCTGAAGCCCTGTGGGTGTACGTACAGGCTAGGACAGTCCATTTGGGGAGCAGGCTGGGATGAGTGGATGAAATTAAGGTGATACACACTGAATGGGCCAGAAATTGGGGCTCTTAGATTTCTATTTCAAAGAGATTGTAACACAGATCCACAAAAGGACATAGTCAAGTTCATGCTCTGCCGTGTTATTTGTGGTGGGGGGAACTGGGGACAGTCCAGTATCAAGCCTGGGAGAGTGGAGAGATAATATGGGCAGGTACCCAGTTCTGGAGGACCGTGGAGCAGTTACAAGTAACTGAGCAGATGATAACATAGCAACATAAAGGATTTTAACATAACACTGAGTGGGGGAAAGTAAGAAATGGAATATAATTCAGCACAATTTGTGAAAATTAAAAATGTATGCACAAAACAAGAACAAAGATTTTACCAGAATACAGATAGGAAGATATGTATTATATGTTGAATGGTTGCCTATGGGATTAAGTCAGAAAGATGGTGGGGACATTAGTCAAGACAAGGGGAACTTCTGGTCAAGATGGCAGCATAGGATCAACCAAAGGACTTATGTGCATGCATATGAGCAAAACAAATGGACACAGACTGTAGGGGGGGGGTGAGGGCTTGTGCTTGGGGGAGAGGGTGGCAGGGGAGAGGTCCATGGGGGGAAAAAAGGAGACTCATGTAATACTTTAAACAATAAAGAATTTTTAAAAAACTAACATAAAAGACTGAAGGAAAATAAAAGATGGCAGCATAGGAAAACATGGTGGTACTCCCCTCATCTCAAAACCACATCAAAATTATGTACAACTAAACTACAGAACAACCATCATTCAGAACCACCTGAAAGCAAGCTGAATTAAAGTCCTACAGGTAGGGAATTAAAGAAGGTGACACATCGAGACTGGTAGGTGGAGTGAAGACAAGTATGAGCTGGTCCCACACCCATGTGTATCAGGTAAAAATAGGGAGGAATATCTCGGCTGTGGAGGTACTCCATGAGGAGTGAGGTGTCCCAGCTCCACACTAGACTCCCCAGCTCAGGGCTTCAGTGCTGGGAAGAGAAGACTCTATAATTTCTGGCTGTAAAAACCAGTGGACATTGAGGTTGACGGAGACAGAGGCTGTTAGAGTCCCAAGCAGTTCCTCTTTAAGTGCACAGACTAACTTGAACTCACTTCTTGTGAGCTCCAACATGGGGGTTGGGGGGCAGCAGCTTGAAAGGCACCAGAGACAAATGGGGAGGAACTGAATTGACCAGCATCAGGGCTGGGGGTGCAGCTTTCTCCCAGGCAGACGTCATTGTTCCTTTGATGAGCCCTCCCTCCACAGAGCCATATCTGAGACCCCATTAACCTGATTCTCTGAGGCTCTGCCCCACCCAATTTTCAGGCCCACCCAAGTTGTTTCTGGTGGCTTTTCCATATGATTGGCCTGACCTGGTTCATGCTTCAGACTTTGCTAAAATCTTTGAAACAAGCAGCATCTGGCCTCAGCGAGCCCCATACCTCTCACTAAGTGTCCCTAGGCCCAGCACTAGCAGCAGCCAACCTTGGTTCAGAGCTTGACCTCGCTGGGGCACCTCCAAGCTCATCATAAGGAGAAGCCATATGCAGATTGCTTTGTAGCTCATGCCAGGTGGCCCAGGGCAGAATACAAGTGGCAGCTGACTTTGGCCTGTACTTCCCAGGAGGCCCTAGAGCCATCACACCCGGTGGACAGCTTCATACCATGCTGAAGCACCATCCCCCAACCACCTTCACAAGCAACACACTCACAGGGTAGACTCAGAGGGCACCAGAGCCCGGCTTAAGTAAGTCCTGCTCTGTGGGGTGGGGCCTGTACAGCTGATCCTCCATGGTGGTTGAAGGTTACAGCCAGTCCTTGTAGCTGATCAGCCTGGGGGTAAATCCCTCCCATTGACATGCCAACAGCAATCAAGGCTCAACCACAAGAGGAAGCTGTATGCAGCCCACACAGAGGGCGCACCTTGAGTGTCCAGCTTGGGTGATTGGGGAGGCTGTGCCACTGGACCCTACAGGGCACTGCTACTTTAGGCTACTCGATCTAGCCTGGGAGACGTAGCAGCTCTACCTAACACATAGAAACAAACACAGAGAGGCTGCCAAAATGAGGAGACAAAGAAACATGTCCCAAATGAAAGAACAGACCAACACTCCAGAAAAAGAACTAAACAAAAATGGAGACAAGCAATCTACTAGACGCAGAGTTCAAAGCACTTGTTGTAAGGATGCTCAATGAACTTAGTGAGCACCTCAACAGCATAAATAAAGGACCAATAAGAAATTAAGGACACACTAACTGAAATGAAGAATAATTTACAGGGAATCAACAGTAGAGTAGATGAAGCCAAGAATCAAATCAGCGATGGGAATATAAGGAAACAAAAAACACCCAATCAGAACAGAAAAAAGAAAAAATAATTAAAAAAAAAAAACAAACAACAAAAAACAAACAAACAAGGATAGTTTAAGGAGCCTGTGGGACAACTTCAAGAACACCAACATTTGCATCATGGGGGTGCCAGAAGGAGAACAGAGAGAACAAGTAATGGAAAACCTATTTGAAAAAATAATGACAGAACACATCTCTAACTTGAAGGAAATCGACATTACAAGTCCAAGATGAATTCAAAGAGGCCCACACCAGGACACATCATAATTAAAATGCAAAAGGTTAAAGACAGCAAGAAGCCCTGGTCCTGGTCGGGGAGTTCGTTTAGTTAGAGCATAGTCCCAAAACACCAAGGTTGCACTTATCCTGATATTTGAGGTGAGGGAAGCTGACACCTGGGCTCCTGGGAAGTGGGTGTGGCAGCATCTTGGGAAGGAGAGAGCTGCAGAACTGAGAATGGCAAAAGGCGTGGGAAACTGATGGAAGAACCCTCTTTAAGAGAAAGTTGGTTGGCAAAGGAAGAACAATATTTCATAAACACACATTATCTGTGTGTCACTCCCTGTTTTTCCCCTTCCAGTCTCCTCCAGGCACAGTCCAGAGGAGTGAGTAGATTCTACCTTTCTTTGGAAGGACTCTGATCCCCAACAGGCGCGCTGGGATCTGTCCTTGGTCCTGAAGTGATACCTGAACCAATGCCTCAACCAGTACGTGGTTTCTTGGGACCAACGACACTGGTTAGTGTGATGCCTCTCTCAGTAGTTCTGAACCACGTGAGAAATGTTATTTCCAGCCTTAAAAATATCAGCGCTATTTGCATCTTGTAGCCCTCCTCTTCCTAGGGTGCTCGCTGCACCCACTCTCCAGGAGTTCTAGTTATAGCTGCCCCATCCCGCATACCAGGCCTACAAGGCACACCCACCAACATGGGCCCACACATCCAGTGAGCACCCACTCTGTTTGCTAGCCCTCTAAATGTATGGTCCATTCCCATAAATTTAGGGCATGTGATGTTAGATGAGAGGTCAATGACTTGCTGAACAAGCAGAACCAAAACTTGGTTTCCCAATTTACATGTCTTCATTCATGATTTTTGAGAGTTGCACAATTTCCATCCCCCACAAAGTTATTTTCACTTTTTGAAGATGGCAAGGAAAGCACCGCTACCCTGTGATCATCACACTTGTGAGAGCTGCATGAACTGAAAGTGACCCTTCCAAACCCTTCAAAACCTGAGGGGCCTGAGAATTCAGGTTGAGCCTGAAGTGTGACATCCGGATCTGCTCTAGCATCAAAGGAGAGAGAACGAGAGTGCTCAGGGGTTTTCATATTTTAGGGGAGACCCCAAGAGGCAGCCAAGAGAGTGGCAGCCGGGCCTCAATTGGACCCCACCTACTCACCTTGACACAACGTGGGAAAGGGGAGAGAACATATACTCTGTCTGGGCCCTTGCCTAGCCCTGCACTCACTTTCCTCTTCTCCCACCCATGCATCTAGCAGAAAACCTTTTTCCCCCTCCTTCTTTCAGCCCAGCCTGTGGTGAGACCATTTCCTGTTGCCTTCATTGGGAATCCGTGTCTCTTTGCTTGCTGGTCAGGTAGGGTTAGGGGCTGTTTGAAACAGAAAGGAACTCCGCTGAGATACCAGCACCCTCAGTGTCTCAGCAGAAAACCTTCTGATTCCTATCAGCAGCTGCAGGATGAGATCATGCCTGGCCTGTTACATGGACCAAAATGAAGAAGGAGGAAGCAGGAGGTGGATTTGGGATGGCATGAAGAGGGTAAAAACCCTTAGATTGGCACCCATTTTCTGAGCATTGTGTTCTCTCCCTCTCTCAGGAGGAGGGAGATGATATAGGAGAGAGAAGGTAGAATAAAAAGGCATTCCGGCTTGTTTTGGAGGAGGGCTACTGGGTTTAGGGGGAGCATTGGCAATAGGATCCTATCTCCATCCTCAGAATCAGGGACAAATTCCTGTTCTACTCCACCATTCCTCCTCTCCCTATCTCATTCCTCACCTCACCAGCCAGGAGTGAATCCTGGCTGCACCATTATTTCACTGCATGACGCTGGGCGAGTCACTAAACTTTCCCATCAGTTTTCTCATTCATAAAATGGATACGTTGATCCCCACCAGGGATGTAGTAAGGTGAGGCAGGGAAGGATGGCATAGTGCAAGGCACACGGGCGACCCAGGCACCCCACAGCCCTTGCTGCCCCACACCACGCGGCGCTCTCCCCAGCCAGGCACCCTCACCGATTCTCAGCCACCAGGATCTGCTCCAGCAGGCGTGCGGCCTGCACGCGCGTCTCCAGCTCCGTCGCCTGCAGCAGCCGCAGCAGCAGGTCGAGGCCGCCGTCCAGGCGGATGGCGTCGCACAGACCCTGGGCTACCTCGCGGCCCACGGCCGGCAGCAGCCAGGCCTCCTCTACCAGATGGAAGACCTCCGCCAAGCCGACGCCGACAGCCCGCGCGCTACCCGCCAGCTTCAGCGCCGTCAGCGCCTGCTGCAGCTCGGGCAGCGCACGCTCCAGGGCGCCCTGCACCTCGGTGTCCACCCCAGGCGACACCTCGCGGGGCCCGCGGCCGCCCGCGACCCACCATGGCCCCGCGCTGCCGCTCCCGTCCTGCCCCGGCACCACCAGCCGGTCGGCGCCCGACTGTGGGCCTGACATGGCGAAGAATCGGCACAGCTTGTAGGCGGAGAGGAGCAGCGTCAGGACCATGGGCGCGGGGCTGCAGAGGGCATCCCTGGCCTGGAGGGGCGGGACCTAGCGGAGCGGAGCGACCCGGACCTTGGGAAAAAGGGGACCCGAGAGGAGGTCAGGGGGAAGAAGATGCAGGAGGGAGGGATGGAGAGCAGGGTACCAGGCAAGGGCGCTGGCCAGTAGTTTGGGGAGAAGAGAAGGACAGGATCTAGGACGAAGCGGTTGGGAGAGGGAATGCAGGCCCAGATACTGGGGATGGACGGGAGGAGGGAGCTGGGAAGCGGGGCTGGACCCAAACGCCGGAGGGTGCAGGCAGCAGCCACCAGAACAAAGCGCGGCTCCAGCTCCGGCTTGGCTGGCAGAGGTACTCTCAGCAGCCACGCCCCTGAGAAGCCGGACCGGAACCGACGCCCCGCCTCTGGGTCTCGCGGGGCTCCGCCCCTGCCTCCTGCGTAGCTCCGCCCTCAAGTCCTGCCCCGCCCCGCCCACGCCCTCGCCAGACCTCTCCCCTCTCGTCGCATGCCCCCCCCACCCCCCCCCACCCCCCCACCCCCGCTTCCCCTCCGCCACCCACCCCTCCGCCGGGTGCAGGGGCAGCGGGTGGAGAGCGAGAAGACTGCCTCGGTTTTAACCGTGACACTGGCCATGTGAGGGCAAGCAGCACCCTTGTGTGTCCCCTCCCCTACTAGTAGTTAAAGTGATCATAATAACGATTCTGTACAACTCTAGAGGCGGTTTATGCCTTTCTCAATTCGGCCTTACAACCTGCCTCTGAGGGAGGAATTACTGTTCCCATTTAATAGGCGAACCGACTTAGGCCTAAGGAAAAGAGATTGCCCCAAGTCACACTCCCCTCTGATCAGAGAACAGAAAAAAAATCAGCTGGAAACTCTCAGGATCACTTCCCGAAGGTGGTGGGAGGACTTCAGGAGTTCTGTGGACCCCTGGAAGTAGGCACAGAATCGGGCATTCTGTGCTCGTGGGCATTTTGTGGGTAGAGCCTTAAAGTGGGAGGAAATGGGGGAGAACCAGATCACTCTTGAGGGTGGCGACAGGCAGTGGCCTGCTCAGGAGCAGTAAATTAGTGGAAGACTCAGGAATCAAATGCAGTCCAAAGGGTTAATAGTCACTCAATTTCCTGTGTTGTGAAGACCAGCTTGGGAAAATCAATGCACCCAAGGGATGAACCCAGAAATGAAACTTTGTTCTTTCCTGATAAAAAGATTTCCCCAGGGTGCTTACCAGCATTCCTCCTCCCCTCCCCACTTCACTGCCCTAAATACACAATGAGTGGGTGTGCCTGATCAAACAGATCATAGATCAATACCATGTATGGAGATTGAAGTCGGGGCTACTCTAGGCATTGGGCATTTTGTCTGCTTAACTCATATAATCTCCCAAGTATGATTAGTCTCATTTTACCAAAAAGAGAACTAAGGCAGGTAAAGCAGATTGCCCAGGGTCACGCGGCCAGTAAGTGGTGGGGTAGGCCTTCTTTCTGCCTTCCAGACACACTGTACTATTTCCCTCCTGAAATAACCCCAAGCTTGGCAAGGATCCTGTTTGCAGCTCTCCCAGGCCCAGAGTGTCAGGAATGTGACCCTGTGCAACAGCAACCTCTCAGGGTCAAGGCACTGGGGGCCGGGCCAGAGGTTGAACAAATAGAGCAGCAGGAAAGGCAGCTCCTCTTCTCAGGTTCCCTCCCTTTCTCTCCCACCTCTCCCTCCCTTTCTCAGGCATCAGAGCAGAGAGCACAGAACCCAGTAAGCCAGGCTCGCGGCTAGAGGCCCTGCCATGGCACCCCTTAGGCCCCTTCTAATGCTGGCCCTGCTGGCCTGGGCTGTTCTGGCTGACCAAGGTGCAGGAGGGTGTTGGTGGCCAGTTGGGCTAATGTAGGGTGGGCAAGAGTGGGCCGGTCTTGGTTGTGCCAACTGAAACTCCCTCCCCACAGAGTCATGCAAGGATCGCTGCACCGAGGGCTTCAACCAGGAAAAGAAGTGTCAGTGTGATGAGCTCTGCTCTTACTACCAGAGCTGCTGTTACGACTTCGTGGCTGAGTGCAAGCCCCAAGGTGCGTTCGGAATGGCTGGGTGGGTCTGGGGTCCCCTCTGCAGCTGGAGACTCACACCACCCACTCTGCCTGCAGTGACTCGCGGGGATGTGTTCACTATGGCAGAAGATGAGTACGGGGTTGATGGCTTCGATTCGGAGACAGAAAATCCCAGTGTCCACACACAGACAGAGAGCACCCTCATTAACAGTAACCCACAGCCCGCTGAAAGCATTCCTGAGCAGGGACTTGATCTGAATCCTGAGGAAGAGGTCCCAGGACCAGAACAGGAGACCCCAGGGCCTGACATGGAGACCCTAAGGCCTGAGGGCACCCATCAAGAAATCTTCGAATCCTCAGCAGAGGAGCTGTGCAGTGGGAAGCCCTTTGATGCCTTCACTGACCTCAAGAATGGTTCCCTCTTTGCCTTCCGAGGTGACTCCAGGGGCAGGTCTCTGGGGCGGGGGTCTGCCCCAGGAACATTCCCTCCCTCACACAGCCTCCTCCACTCTAGGGAAGTACTGCTATGAGCTGGATGAACATGCAGTGAGGCCTGGGTACCCCAAGCTCATCCAAGATGTCTGGGGTATCGAGGGCCCCATTGATGCTGCCTTCACCCGCATCAACTGTCAGGGGAAGACCTACCTCTTCAAGGTGCCAAGCCCGGGGCTGTGGGTCAGGGTCAAGGGTATCCAGGCAGGAGTTGAGAGCTGTTGTGCCGACGACCAGGGTGGGCAAGAAGGCTGAATCCCAGCCTTTGGTGTCTGTCTGAAGCTCTGTGAGGTCAAGGAAGCCCAAGGTTCCAGGTCCTGGGTGACAAGTCTAGAACTGAAACTGCTGCCTTGGATGGGGGACTCTGCCTCCGTGCCCAGCCAGCCACCTCCTCACCTCCCTCCTCCTTCCCTACCCCCTTAGGGAAGTCAGTACTGGCGCTTCGAGGATGGTGTCCTGGACCCCGATTACCCCCGCAGCATCTCTGAAGGCTTCACGGGCGTTCCAGACAACGTGGATGCAGCCTTCGCCCTCCCCGCTCACAACTACAATGGACGGGAGCGGGTCTACTTCTTCAAGGGTACTCAGGGGGTAGAGGGGAGAATGAGCAGGCAGTGGAGCAGTCTCAGTTTTGGGGGACTGGCCTAGATGATGCTTATGTCCATCCTCCTTCCACCCTGCCCCGGCCTGGAGCTCCTAACAGCCTCTGGGCTTTCCAGCCTTGCTCATGCCCACCCCTCCCCAGGACAACAGTACTGGGAGTACGAGTTCCAGCAGCAGCCCAGTCGGGAGGAGTGTGAAGATAGCTCCCTGTCAACCGTGTTTGAACACTTTGCCATGATGCAGCGGTCCGGCTGGGAGGATATCTTTGAGCTTCTTTTCTGGAACAGACCCTCTGGTATGGAGGGAGGGCAGGTCTTGTTTCCCCTTCAAGAGGGCTGGGATCCCGGAGACAGAGGGAGGGCGGCTGGGCTGGCCAGAGGGGGAAGTGATTGTAGAGCTATCCATCAAAAGCTGTTTGCTCAGGCCAGACTTTGCATCTGTTTTGACCTTTGGGGGGAAGGCTTGCCTCCACCTGGACCCCACACCTTGGACTTTGCCTAGCATGCCCAAGGGCACAGCCAGCAAAAGGAGGGGCTGTGGCTGAGGTAAATGGGGAGGGACATGGTGGAGGGAGGCCAGGGGAAAGGGCATTAAACAGAGTCAGAAAGCCAGGGTGCTGACCTCTGCTGCTGCTAGCTTGCTGTGCCCTTAGGCACCTGATGAACTACCCTGTGGGGGGTGAGGGGGGGGAGGGTCCAGGCTCTCAAGGTTCCCCATTAACCCCTTCCCTGCTACAGGTGGTACCAGACCACCCCAGTCCATCAGCGAGGACTGGCCTGGTGTGCCCGGGAAAGTGGATGCAGCCATGGCTGGCCGGATCTACATCTCAGGCTCAGCTCCCCGCTCCTCCTTGACCAAGAGCACTAAGTCTAAGCGTCGCAACCGTAAACGCTACCGATCACGCCGTGGCCGCGCCGGTGGCCACAGCCCCAACTCCCACCGGAAATCCCGTTCAATCTGGCTGTCCTTGTTCTCCAGTGAGGAGAGTGGCCTGGGAACCTACAACTATGATTACGACATGGACTGGCTTGTGCCTCCCAAATGTGAGCCCATCCAGAGCGTCTACTTCTTCTCAGGAGGTAGGAGCCCCTGCAAACCCTGTAGCGGGTTCAGCAGTGGCCCGCCCTGCTCTCTCTCGCTCCCATGAGCTGAACTCAGCCCTTGAGCAGTGACTTGGGAAAGCCAGGTCAGGAGTCCTGGCCTGCATTGTATGTTCACTTACCCTTCCAGGGGAGACCGGGTTTTAGGGCAGGCGTGGGCAGGGCCAGGCTGGGTCTCACTCACTCTCCCCCAACCTCTCTTCCAGACAAGTACTACCGAGTCAACCTTCGCACACAGCGAGTGGACACTGTAAGCCCTCCCTACCCACGGAACATCGCCCAGTACTGGCTGGGCTGCCCAGCCCCTGATCACCAGTAGGAGTCCGAGCCCATATATCTGGGCCCTCCGCTGCTTCCTCCTCTAACCTCCTCCTCCCAGCTCAATAAAGATCCCTTGGCGTTGAGTTTAAGATTACTGTCCTGACTCGGGTAGACAGGAAGGAGGCAAGGCTCTGCCTGGGTAAGGGAGGCGAAGCTGGGCTGTTAGGGTGGCTTGGAGAGAAGAGCCTTCCTCTGTCCAGCCCATGTTTGGCTCAGGGCCTCCTAATGAACCACAAAGCTGTGGGCTGGAGAAGGCCTCGTGGCTGCTAGCCCTCCTCCTGAGCTAAGCAGCCCCCAACAACCCACCAGTAACTAAGCAGGAGCTTGAACCCCTCTGATGATGACAGGAGTCACCAAGCGCCCCCTCTCAGCCCTGGGCTTGCTTTACCTCTTGGAGTTGACCTCTAGGGCAGTGGTCGGCAAACTCATTAGTCAACAGAGCCAAATATCAACAGTACAACGATTGAAATTTCTTTTGAGAGCCAAGTTTTTTAAACTATATAGGTAGGTACATTGTTATTAACTTAATTAGGGTACTCCTAAGGCTTAGGAAGAGCCACACTCAAGGGGCCAAAAAGCCGCACGTGGCTCGAGAGCCGCAGTTTGCCAACCACGGCTCTAGGGTCTTAGAGGACAGAGAAGGGGTGAAGGGGATGGGCTTTTGATTCAGTTTTCTGGTCATCTTGAGCCTGAAATGTGGTTATCTCAGACACCTGAGTCCCTAGGGAACTTGTCACTGTGTTCCCCTAGTGACCCCCATCTGTGAGGACTCTGTCTGGGGTCTGGGTGCAGGGCACTGAGGTTAGGAGAGATAGGAAAGGCAGGGACCCAAAGGAAATTCAAATGTTCCTACATCTCTTAGTAAGTGGCCCAGAAGATTTCCAAGGACCAGTGCGCTGTAAATACAAACATCTTCCTTAAAACCCCTCAGTTGTACCTGTGGAACCTCCTCTGGTTTCAGGTTCCTGGACTCTAGGAAGCCCACCTGGGCTTTCGAGGGGCCAGAGAGAAAGGGTTAGATGAAAACAAAGCTCTAAAGCAGACCTGAGGGAGATCTGGTGGTGACAGCTGCTTCCCAGCCCTACTGCTGTCCCATCATCCTCTGCACCCTGCCCAGCCTCAGCAGGTTCTTCTCCCATATCCTGGAGAAAGGGAATCCTTTCTGCTTTTTTGGAGGCTTCAGAACTAAGTTACAGGCCAGCATCCAGGATGTGTGGAACAAGGATGACGGCTGATTTGTGCACTTGGGCAAGTTCAGGCAGCATGGCCCACTTCCGGGAAGGCCTGGATTCTATTTACTCTCGATGGAAAACCCCAGCCCAGCAGTGCCTGGACTGGACTGGAGAAGGCAGACAGGCATCAGGATTAGGATCAGGTACCGACAGACCAGTTCTGTTCAGTTGTCGGAGTCTCCTCTACTGCCCCCTCTGGCAATTGACACAGGATTCCTATGGAGCCCAGTCCTCAGCTGTGGGACAGGACTGCACCCACTCTCCCCTGAAGGCAGCCAGCACCGGGCTGAAGCCCTGGGAACACTGGAGAGAGGGATTTCTTTGGCTTCCTGGAAGAAGCCCTGGGAGAATTTCTATGAAGTACCAGGATTTCAGACACAGACTGCCAGAGTGTGCAGTTCAAGGAGTGGGGCTGGGACCAGCTTCCTTTGTGGAGCCCTGGAGGAGCAGGGGCCCCCAAACTTTTGCCCCACCTATACCCAGCCAAGCTCCAACAGCCCCTGGCCACCCATGTCTCCTCAAGCTGGATGATAAACCTCTATGCTCCTGGAGGTGGAGCCAGCGCTCTGAGCAGGATAAAACCCCAATCAGAGGAGTCTGGTGTGGGCACAGCCTGGGAATGGCCCTCTGGCTCCTCACTCTCTGCCAGCTCCATGGCCAACCCTGTGGATGCATCGCCAACAGGTGATCTGATGGGAAAAGGGCTGGCAGGGAAGGATGTAGGGAGGGTATGATGGGGGAAATTTGGGCAGGCAGCAGATGCTTCAGGGTCTCTTGGGGGCTTTGAGGTTGGGGTGGAGGCTCTTGAAGCGAGTCCTGGCTTGATCTCCACCTCGGCCCATAGGCCATGCCAGTGGGTTGGGTCCCCACCGGAGAAAGCGGACCACCTTCAGCAGAGGACAGCTGCTGGAGTTGGAGCGGGTGTTTGCAGCACGGCCCTACCCTGACATTGGCACCCGTGAGCATCTGGCCCAGGTCACCTGCCTTCCTGAGGCCAAGATACAGGTGAGCTGTGGCCCCGCCCCCTCAGGGTGGGATACTCTCACACAGCCAGCTTCTGGGCTTGACCCACAGCTCCTTCTGAGTATCCTGCCTCCAAGTTCTGCCTTCCCTGTGCTTGGGGGGAGGGGATACTGGAGCCAGAAGAGACCCCTTCTTCTTCCCTTCCCAGGTGTGGTTCCAGAACCGGAGGGCCAAGAGAATCAAGAACAGGAAGCCAGGAGGCCTAAACTCCAGGCCTGAGCCCCCCCAGAGACCCCGTTCTCTTTCAGATGCCCTCCAGCAGTCTCAGGAGCCCCAAACACTAGGACAGCTTCCACTCTCCAACAGCACAGCTCAGTGCACCTCAGGGTGTCGACATGCCTCCTGTCCGGCTCCTGGCTTGGGTCCAGGGCAGGGCTGGGTGGAGGCTAAAGCTGTAGCTCCTTGGGGGCCAGCTGGGGCTTCAGGGGTCCATCTTTCTTCAGAGCAAACTACTCCCCAGACCTCACTGGGCAGCCTGTCTGAACTCATCTATGCCTCGGCCATTGTCACCAACCTGGACCACTCCTAATCTAGGTCAGAACTTGCAAACCCCCATCTCTAGCTCCTGTAGCCCACCTGCCCCTTGAGCTGAAACACATCACCCTCTTCTTTTACACGAGGGCATTCTCTCATGGGGAGAAAGTTTAGTTCAGGGATCCCTCCCTTCCACTGTCCTCCAGGCCAGCCTAGATGCGGGACCTATGGAGTAAATGGGACCTGGCTCCTGCTTCCCAGCACCTCCTGAGGCATATGCCCATTGTCTTGGCAGGAGAGACCTTCAGAGGGATGAGGTATGGGGCCATGTTTTCCCCCTGTCCTGCCAGGCCCGGCCCCCAACTCTTCTCACCCAAGCAGAAGACACGGTCTCCCTCTAAAGGAAAATGGACAGGAAGCTGCCTCTCACCTTCAGGTCAGCACCTCACTGCTAAGTGAGCGAGGGGAGGAGAGTGTGCTGGTCCTAATTCTAGACTGCAAGGGACCAACTCTTTCATAGTCGAGGGTCTCTCCTGACCTCCTACCACCTGGACAAATTAATCAGAACCATGGATCTGAAGAAGTGATATTAAAGTAATAAAGTAGAAACAGGAGCTTGTAGCTTACACTGATTTAATTTCCATAAAGATCAGATCGGTTGCCCTCTGATCTGGGGTTGTGGAGAGAACCTGACAGATCTGAACAGGGTAGGGTGGTGTGTGCACGGCAGCGTTGGGTTTTGCTATCACTGTCATCTGTAATACCAACTAATCTCCAAATAAAACCCAAACTCTGTATCTTAATCTGGATTGTTGTGTGATACAAACAAACGGGGACGAGAAGGCCCTTTGCTTTTGAAATTTATCTCCATCACCTAATCTCTAAATGGGCCAAGTTCCACAGATTCTGGTGGGGGAGGCATTACCCAGGTTTCTGCTGGGATTAGTTAAGAGGGACAGTTAACTGAAGGGCTTAGGGCTCTCACTGACAGACCCTGGGGAGGTGGGAACCTCTGCTGGCAACTCCTGCCCTGACCCTGCCGGTTCCAGGACAATCTGGCTGCCTCCTGTTCTGGAGCTGTTCTGCAATCCTGGCATTGCTAAGTAACCTTGCAACTCTCTCAGTCTATGAGCCTGAAAATGGGGATGAGAATACTTGTCTCCTCTCTGTTTTGGAAATGAGAGCCAGGAATCTCCAAAAAGCTTTTAAAACTTAATTTTAAAACAGTTTAGGTTGCCCGGCTGGCATGGCTTAGTGGTTGAGCACCAACCTATGAATCAGGAAGCTGAGGTTCGATTCCCAGTCAGGGCACATGCCTGGGGTTTTGGGTTCAATCCCCAGTGTGGGGCGTGCAGGAGGCAGCTAATCAATGATTCTCTCTCATCATTGATGTTTCTACCTCTCCCCCCCACTCTCCCTTTCTCTTTGTAATCAATACAAATATTAAAAAACAAAAAACAGTTTAGGTTGCTAGAAACACTGTAAAATGCCACCTACATTTTTCTCCTGTTTTCATTCCTGCCAACTAAAAACAGAAATCCTAGGATTTTTCAATGTGATCTATGGTGAACAGAAGGGCCTAAAACCTCCTCCTCTCTCATGTAGAATACTGCCAGGACAGGCTCAGACTTGTTATAACTGGCAAACATTGTTGAGGGAATGTCTACTCAGCCAATGAGTATATAATTTCTAAGAACAGAGGAATGCCCGGGGACGGGGTGGGGGGAGACCGCTGGAGCTTATGCAGTGAACAAATGGAAACATGGACTCTACCATTAGGAGCAGACTCTGCACAATTTTCAGAACTATAAAAATCTTTGGGCTTTTGTGTTTTCACAGATTTGAAATAAAAGTACACTGAATACAATAAATATTTATTATGCTTTATACAGATTCTATCATTGCACCACTAATCTAAGTTCCAGAAGTTTAACATTACACAGAGACTTCAGGACCATCTAGGAGTCTTTGGTTCCATTTATCAGAGGAAGGAACACAGTAGATCATTTGATCTCTCTCAGCCTCAGTTTTGTCATCTGGAAAAGGGGCCTAAGACCATTTCCTTTTCTAACCTCCAGGACTATTGTAAAGACCAAAAACAACTATGTAAAACAATTAGTCAACTGTGAGCATTTACATATTATTTTTCACACTCACCCAAACATGTTTAAGAACCCCACAGAAAACATCCTGTATTAGGCTCACATATAAAAATATGTATACATATTCATAATGTATTATGTATACATATTCATGTGTATGTTTATTCATAGTTAAATCTGAAAATCGTCCCTGTCCCTCCCTTTACTAGCTGAGGCAATCTCACAGTAGGCATACTCTCCCCACAAACACAAACAAGTACAAGGGATTTTGCAATTAAAAGCAGAAACACTGTTTTGCGACCTGAATTGTTTTCATTTTTGGAGACAGAGCAAAAGGTGATGAGAAGACGGGAAGTTTAAGAAGGGCTGGTGGGTGGTAGAGACAGGCAGAAGCATATAGAAACCCTAAAAAAGACAAGCAGAAGGAAGAAAATGTAGATAGAAACTAAAATTCCAAAAAGATAGCTGCCTTACACCCAGCTCCGCCATTCTGTACAGACCCATCTTCCTCCTCTTCTTGTTTTATGTCCGCCGATCAGTTCTTCCCCATAACCTGGAGAAAGGGAATCCTTTCTGCTTTTTGGAGGCTTCAGAACTAAGTTACAGGCCAGCATCCAGGATGTGTGGAACAAGGATGACGACCTATTTGTACACTTGGGCAAGTTCAAGCAGCATGGCCCACTTCCGGGAAGGCCTGGATTCTATTTACTCTCGATGGAAAACCCCAGCCCAGCAGTGCCTGGACTGGACGGAGAAGGCAGACAGGCATCAGGATCAGGATCAGGTACCAACAGGCCAGTTCTGTTCAGTTGTCGGAATCTCCTCTATTGCCCGCTCTGGCAACTGACAGATGAGGCTGCCCACGGAAATAGCAGGTAGCAGTGGCGTGGCCCTGACTGACTAGAGCTGAGTACAAAGAACCTGATGGATTGACTGAGAGTCAGTGTTTGGCAGCTGGGAGCCTGGAGCCCCTCCAAACCGTCTCCAGACTTTGATGATGAAGCACCAGTTATAGCTCTCCCAACTCGCCTTCCATCACCCGCACCATGACATACAGCTCAGCCAGACCCACCACAGAGGCGACGATCACTGCAGCCAGTATCCGCTGGGGAGGGAAAGGACCAGGCTCAGGGGATGAAGGCCAGCCACCAGCCCTGCAGCCTCCAACACCTCTAATAAGGATGAAGAGAACCCCAACCCAGCCCATAAGTTGGGGGGAAAGGAAGAAATGAGGATCTGAAGTCTCCAGAGGTTATTAACCACCTCCAAGACTATTAAGCTCAAATGCTCCTCTTTTTTTTTCTTCTGTATTGATTAAGGCGGCGGTTCTCAACCTGTGGGTCGCGACCCCTTTGGCGGTCAAACAACCCTTTCACAGGGGTCGCCTAAGACCATCCTGCATATCAGATATTTACATTACGATTCATAACAGTAGCAACATTACAGTTATGAAGTAGCAACGAAAATAATTTTATGGTTGGGTCACAACATGAGGAACTGTTTTTAAAGGGCCAGAAGGTTGAGAACCACTGGATTAAGGTATTACACATGTGTCCTTATCTCCCCATTGTCCCCCCACGCCCATCCCGCTCATGCCCTCACCCCCCTGGTGTCTGTGTCCATTGGTTATGCTTATATGCTTGCATACAAGTCCTTTGGTTGATCTCTCCCCCTTACCCCCACCCTCCCCTACCTTCCATCTGAGGTTTGACGGTCTGATCGATGCTTCTCTGTCTCTGGATCTGTTTTTGTTCATCAGTTTATGTTGTTCATTATATTCCACAAATGAGAGATCATGTGATATTTATCTTTCTCTGACTTAGCAAACACTCCTCTTGTTTACTGCACAAATATTTATTCATTGCCTAACTTATGCAAGGCACTTTCACATACATCCTCCCTTTCCCACTAACACCCGCACCTGGAGCACCCTACCCTGCCAGTGCTTACTCACCAAGGCCATTTCTGTGAAGATATACTGGCTTCCAAGGTAAGTGCAGACAAAGGCGGCTGCCACCGTGACAATGAAGTTGAAGATGGTGATGACCACAGCCTTCACTGACCTCACTTTGGGGAGGAACCCAGGGAAGAAACTTTTAGCTCAGCATCCTCCAGGAGGTCCTCTTATCTCTACAGCTGCCTCCCCCGTCTACTGGGTCTCCCTTAACCAGCAAACCTGAACAGCTCAGGCTTAACCCCAGAGTACTGGGATGGGAAGGAGTATCATGACTGAGCCCTCGTAGGGAGAGACTTCAGCACCTAATATCTCAGTCTCTCACCTTCCTTGCCCAGGTCACTTAGAATCCCACCATGCCTTGAATCCTGGGAAAAAGAAAAAACAAATGATTTCAGAATGGAAGCAGATCAGGGGCAGCCCAGAGAGTATCCATTTGTTAGTCTGGGCTCAGCCCTTTTTATTCCCCGAAGCATTATAACTCCTTCTTATCCATGGATTCTTTTGTCTGTGACCAGTTAGATTCTTTTCTGGACCACAGATCAAACATTTCAAAGAAAGGACACAGGCTCCCAGTACCCATCTACCCCTCGACTGTTCTGGGGCAGGAGCATGACCTGTTGGAAGAAAGGCTCCAATGCTCATTCCCATCTCTACAACCTTGAAGAATCGGTCACCATCTAAGCCCAGAGTCTCAGTGAATAAGTTGGGAATTATATTTGGTTTTTATGTAACACAGAGCTGCTTTGGTCCCTGAAGAGTATACAAGCTATGTTCTTTCTTTCCTCTGTGCCTTCCAGTGCAGGGCCCTGCTTTCTGGGGCTACTCAAGTCCATGTATTGAAGAGCAGGCCCTTACCTGACAGGTGACATTGCGGGTGATCCGCTTATATTCGTCATTGGCCAGCTGTATCTTAATTTTCTCCAGACGGGCAACTAGCTCTGGGTTCTAAGGCAGGAAAATCAAATGAGAAGAATGACATTCCCAGCTTGCTAGAAAACATGTCACAGTCATTGGTTTCAGGGGGCAAAGCACTGCTAAGGGTACTAGGAGACCCACGTACCAGTTCCACCTCCACTGCTTTGGAAACTTTTATGTCAAACGTAGAGGACCAATATCTGGTTCCCCCAACCCAGCTCCCAGGGATTTAAAAGACAAGATTTTGAACTCAAAAGTTGACCTATAAACCTGGCTGTATCACAGATAAGCTCAATTCAGCCAATATCCACTGTCACAAATATACCCCTTACATACCCTAGGAGGCTTCACCACCTCTGGGAGATAGATTTCACTGCCTTCTAGGAGCTCATGAAGGTACAGTGTGGAATCTGGGAAGAAAAAGATTTCCACAAACATAATGATCCATAGAGCTGAGGTCGAAGGATTAAGATCAGAGAAGGATCTAGTCTTTCCCCTAAAATAAAACATGGCCATTCCTATACCAATTCACCTCTAAGATCATTTTCAATTGGGAAGAATATAAGACAATTCCACATAATCATCTCCTACTGCTGCACAACTGCATTTAACTGTCAGCTCTCAGTTACCCTGGCGATGTCACCGCTAACCCGTAAGCCATTTACATTTGCCTGTAGGTGAAGTCATTTCTGTGGCCACCACAGAACTGCCCTAATGAAGTTAAAGTCACAGTGGTGTGGACTACTCAAAGAACACTGTACTAGAGGATCTGTAAGGTCCTTTTAGTTCCAACAGTCAAGCAGTCTATCCTTTGTACTTCTGGGGAGGCAATGTTCATTTTAGCAAAAGACCTTACAGGCCAGTGTGTCCTATTTCCTCCCTTTACAGTTAAGGAAACTGAGGTCCAAGGAAGAGAAATGACTCCTCCCATGGGAGTCAGTGGCAGAGCTCGGACTAGGGCTCAGGTGCCACTCCCAGTTCAGACCTTCCCACACAGCTGTCTATCATCCTATGTAAAGTCAGATGTGCCTGGCCGGTGGGCTCAGTGGTTAGAGCACCAGCCTGCAGCCTGGAGGGTCTCGGGTTGGATTTCTGGTCAAGGGCACGTAGGTGGGTCCCAGTCGGGGCGCCTGGGAGAAGGCAACCAACCAACTGATGTTTCTCCCTCACATCGATGTTTCTCTCTTTCCCTCCCTTCCACTCTCTCTACAAATCAATGGGAAAAATATCTTCGGATGAGGATTAACAACAACAAAAAAGAGTCCGATTTGACGACTTTTACTTCTGAGATGGAAAGAAATCCAGGCTCGCAAACAGGACAAGCTCACTATACTTGCTGTGGCTTAAAAGGAACTGAACCTGTGACATGGTACTGGGTCGGGACTTGGGACTTTTTTCAAAGGTCAGGTGGGCCTCCTTGGGCCCGGAAGTGAAGTGGAGACTCTGCAGAAAGCAGAAACCGCACAAGTGCATGTTGCCATCCAGTAGGAACTCCCACGGAAGTTGTGAGGGAGTAGGTCGCCCTGGGATTTAATTATAAGGTGAGTCCTGGCTTGGCTCGGTGACCGCTCCGCGGGCGAAGGAACGTGACGGGTAAAGATGCTGGAGGTGCGATCAAGGCCTCAAGAGGGAACAGGCTCTGGGGGAAAGGAGGCGACTCCGGACTGGAGAGTGGGCCTCACCCCGTTCTCTCAGGTGCTGGTGCAGGTCCCGGACCAGGCGGAAGGGAACCAGGCGTGCGGGACCCCGGGGGCGGTCACCGCCCTTGTGCTTCTTCTCCACGGCGGCCTCCAGCTCCGCCCGCAGCTTGCGTGGAAGCTGCTCGGGCTCCAGCTCCCCGCCGGGGGCCAAGGCGCGCACCAGCCGCTCGCCGGCAATCAAGTAAGACGCCATTTCTGGTCCGCTCTACGGTCACGTGACCCCCGGCCGGGACTTCCGCCAGCCGTGCGCCGGAAGGAGCTCGGCGCTGGCGGGGCGGGGCGGGGGCGGGCCTAGGGCCAAAGGGGCGGGCGCGGCGCGTCGCGGGGCAGTGTGGGGCGGGGGCGGGACGCCGCCCGGCCGCGGGTCGGGCCCTGTGTCAGCAACACAGCAGACGCTCAGGGGGACATGGCGGGCTGTGTGGCCCGGCGGGTCCTGGCCGTGGGCAGCCGCTGGTGGTCCCGGTCGCTGACCGGGGCCCGGGGGCCAAGGCCGCTGTGTGCGGCGGGTGGACCTGGGGCCTTCCTACCAGCGGCGACCACGACGCGGAGGCACCTATCGTCCCGGTGAGGGACCGGCCGCGGGGCAGGGGCCCGGCGCCGAGGGAGCGTGTTCCCGGCCGGGAAGGAGGCCCGGAGGTCCTGCCCCCCGAGGGTGTTTGGTTTTGGACCCGGGAGAGGGTCCCGGCCGGGGGCCGACCTGCGCCGCGTGGGATGTGTGCCAGGAGCAGAGAAAGGGACGCGGTCCAGAGCCTGGGGTTGTGCGGGGCTGGCCCCGGGGGGGAACTCGTAACCCAGAGTGGGTCCTGCCTCCCCGCGTGGGGATCTTCGCGAGCCGCTGTGAGCAGGCAGCCTTTTCACGAAGCCCTCGGGCTTTTGACTTCGAACTCCCGCGGAAAGATGCTCGAAGTTGAAAACAGGACTGTTGAGTCTGAGCCCCGCACGGGTCCCCGGTTGCAGTGTGACCTTGGGGAGCCTGGGTCTCTGTGTGATCTGGGGAAGGGGGCTTGAGGTCATGGGTGAGGATGGTGTGAACGTTGTCATAAGCAGCTTAAATTCGGGCCAGTGAATCAAGGAAACATCATGTTCACATGTCAACAATGGTAAGAATAACAGTGCTTTAAAGAGCCCCCTAGAAGAAGCACCTGTCCAGAGAGGTCGCGGGGAGAACTGACCTTTTAATGGCTGAGCTGAGACACTTACATTGGGGAGAGATGATAACTGTTTGCATTTTCAGATCCCGGTGCAAATTGATGTAAATCGGCACGAAAACTAGATTTCAAGACCACTAGGTGCAGCGAAGGGAGTACAGCAGGAAATCTAGAGAGGATGAGTAAGCCCTTCCAGGGTAGGGCGAAGACTGCCGTTTAGAGGGGGGAGATGCACATGGACGGAGAACAAATGTTGTTCGAGCTCCTGGTATTCATGAGGCTTTGAGGGGCAACACAAGCTAATCAGGCTCTCAGGGAACGTAGTTTCTAATGGAGATAAGACATGGATACAAACAACTGAAATGCAAGGTGGGAAGGACAGTTAAAGTGCTGAGGGAGGTCATGAGGGTAGCTCAGGGAAGAAAGGAGGAGGGTATGAAGGCAAGATGTGAAGAATGCCGAGAATGAAGAGACGCAAGTGACCTGGGAGCTCAGGCCTAACCTGGACACCAAGGAGGGGCCTGTGGCTGGACCTGCGAGGAGGACAGGCAGCTCCGTGGAGCGGTGATTTGGCAGGACCCTTACCTGTTGCAGCTGGCCCCACTGACCTGACCCTTCTCTGCTGTTGTTGCCGTGGCCCCTCGGTGTCCTAGTAGCTTTTTTTTCCTCTTCTGATGGATAAGTCCTATTACCTCCTCAGCTGCTCAGTGGCTTGTTCTGTTCCTTCCTAATCAGAAACCGACCAGAGGGCAAAGTTTTGGAGACAGTTGGTGTGTTTGAGGTGCCAAAACAGAATGGAAAATATGAGACTGGGCAGGTGAGTGCTGGGCTGGGTCATCTTCCATTTTCATGGTGTGCTCTGCTTCTGAAAGGGTCAGAGCGGGCCGTAGGGCTGCATGTTACCGTTTGCTGCCCTGGTGTTTGGTACCAGACCAGAATCACAAGTGTTTAAAGGTGGGTTTCTTGTTTTCCTGGATTTGAATGCATTTCATGTATCAGTGGGTTCTCTCTCCAAGTGAGTGTGGACAGAGATGGTTTGGACTATAGTGAGGAGAGAGCCAAATTACTGAATAGTCCTCTAACATGGTGGGTGGTGGGAAACCAGTGGAGGGAGCTTTCAGAAAAGCAAACCTGCCTGGGTGGAGTGGCTCAGTTGGTTGAGCGTCGTCCTGTGCACCATGAGGTTCAATTCCCGGCCAGGGCATGTGTCTGGGTTGCAGGTTCCATCCCCGGTTGGGATGCATATGGAGGGCAACCTTTTGAGGTTTCTCACATCGATGTTTCTCTCTCCCTCTCTCCCTCTCTCCCTCTCTCCCTCTCTCCCTCTCTCCCTCTCTTCCTCTCTCCCTCTCTCCCTCTCTCCCTCTTCCTCTCCCTCCCTTCCTCTCTCTAAGCATGTCCTCTGGTGAGGATTTAAAAAAACAAAACAGAAAGCATACCTTTGGCGTTTTGTCATAATTGAGCTCTTCGCCGTGCAATAAGCTCTGGGTGTGAGGTTCTTTTTCTGTATCAGCTTTGTGCTAGATCCACTGAGGTGGATTTAGGCTTCTTGTAGGTAAGGATGACTTTTTGTTTATTGAACATTTGTTTTCTGTGCCTACAATGGACCGGGCATTGTGCATTGGCATTAAATCAGGAAACAATGCCTTTATGGCATTGACAGTTTAGAAAGGAATTATGATATGCAAATGGTCAATGGCTGTGCACTGTGCTAAGTGGGGGGGTGGGGGGGGAAGTCAGGGAACACTTTCTAGAGGCCAACATTGTGGCCTAAAGGATGAGTAGAAGTCCGCCAGGTGAAGATGGGGTAAGAATGTTCCCTAGTTGGGTAGATCACAGAGTTCAAGGAAAAGGAGTGGCCAGACCTTGTGCAGGAGTTGGCACACCCGTGTTGCTTTGTGGTCTGGGTCCCACCTGGGTGGCCTTGCTGGATTACAGACTCACTGAGGCTTCTCTTTCCTCCCAGCTTTTCCTTCATAGTGTTTTTGGCTACCGCGGTGTTGTCCTATTTCCCTGGCAGGCCAGACTATATGACCGGGATGTGGCTTCTGCAGCTCCAGAAAAGTAAGTTGCCCTGCATTGTGCCTCACAGTATTCTCAGGAGGGGGCCTGACTCATGGCAGACATAATTAGGATCCTAGGAGTGAAGATAGCATCCTCCTGGCCCTTAGAAGCAGCCCCACAATATTAATACCCATGGAGACAAAAGTGCTGAGTGCGGGGACATCTGTAATACTTTGAACAATAAAGATTTAAAAAAAGAAGAAAAAGTGCTGAGTGCCAGGGATAGTCTTAAGCCAGAGGGTCCCTTTAGACCTCCCAGGATACTCATTCTCAGTTTGTATTATAATTACCACAGAAGGCATTGGGAGACTAGACTTCTTGATTTCTTGACGGGCAGTTAGAATCTTTCTGTTAATCTCTTATCACCGTTAGAATACATTAATAAAGAAAAAGCCTGCCCGGCCATTGTTGCTCAGTGGTTGAGCCTTGACCTATGAACCAGGAGATCCCCGGCAGGGTATACAGGCTTGATTCCCAGTAGGGGGCATGCAGGAGGCTGCAGATCAGTGATTCTCTCTCATCATTGATGTTTCTTTCCCTCTCCCTTCCTCTCTAAAATCAATAAAAATATATTTGAAAGAAAAAAAGAAAAGGCCCATCAAAAAAAAAAACAAAAAATAAAAGTCCCAACTTCATTCAGTGATCACAGCCCTGGGATGTAAGAAGAGTGGGGTACTCTGGGCTCTAGGGACTGAAGCAGCAATTTGATTTTCTCAACATCTCCTTCTAAGAGGCAGCCCGAGAGTAGGGCAAATGATACTCCATGCCACGGTCCTCCACATTCCATTGTTTGCCCCTGACTGGGGAGTGGTGGGCTGGGTTTAGCTAAAACCTTCAGATCAGGTACCAGTCAATTTATTTAATTAATTAATTTATTTATTTACTTGAGGGGGTTTTAATTTTATTTATATTTTATTTTTACACCATAACCAAGTGGGATTTACTCCAGGGATACAAACTTGATACAATATTCACAAATCAATTAATGTGATACATCACATAAACAAAATGAAGGATAAAAATTACGTGATCATGTCAATAGATGCAGAAAACAAAACCTAGCACCCAGCCCTAGCCAGTGTGGCTCAATTGGTTGAACATTGTCCCGAAGGCACCAGACAGTTTAGATGAGGAGGGGCTGGGGTAGGGACCTGGGGCAGGCACTGATTCTATTTCTCTCTGGATGCTCTTCGGCTTCTCCTACCCTGTAGAGCAGAGAATCCTGCTGGCCACGGCTCTAAGGAGGTGAAAGGCAAAACTCACACTTACTATCAGGTGCTGATTGATGCCCGAGACTGTCCACATATAGTAAGTAAGCAAGAAGGCTGGACCTGGGGTTCTTCTCCATGGGAAAGGCCTGAATCCCATAGGGCACAAAGGGAGGGAGAGGACTCAGACAGCCCAGATCAGCACTGGGTCCCAAGTCCTCAGGACTGGATAGTGACTAAGAAAGTCTGACTCGCTTCTTGCCTTAGTCTCAGAGATCTCAGACAGAAGCTGTGACTTTCTTGGCTAACCATGATGACAGCCGGGCCCTCTATGCCATCCCAGGTGAGTAGAGCATTTGAATGGTGCCTGTCAGTGAGGGGTCTAGTGTGTCTCAAGGAGAGGATTCAGATGCCTTTCTGATGTCCTTTAATCTGCTGGGAGGGATTATAGATGCTGAGAACAATGGGACCAGGGTTACCCCACCCTGGGACAAGGCCAGGAATTGTATTTCTTCTCAGCCTTGTTCCTCCCCTCACCTACATGAGTTTCACTGTCTCTTTGCCTCTGTGTGCCAGGCCTGGACTATGTCAGCCATGAAGACATCCTCCCCTATACCTCCACTGATCAGGTTCCCATCCAGCACGAGCTCTTTGAAAGATTTCTTCTCTATGACCAGACAAAAGGTAAGCTCTCTCAAGAAGAGAAGCTGGAAAGGGAGGGCCCTTTCTTCAAAAACAGTATCATAGAAGTAATTTCAGAGCTCTGTTTCCACAACCTTATTCACCCTCCCGTTAGACCTGTCAGGTGGATGGCTATCATCTCCGCGAGATATGGAAACTCAGGTGATGAGAAGGGACTCAAGATTGCTAGTGAGGTCCAGCCGGCATGGCTCAGTGGTTGAGTGTCGACCTATGAACCAGGAGGTCATAGTTCGATTCCTGGTCAGGGCACATGCCTGGGTTGTATGCTCGATCCCCAGTGTGGGGTGTGCAGGAGGCAGCCTATCAATGATTCTCATCATTGATGTTTCTCTCTCTCCCTCTCCCTGCCTCTCTGAAATAAATAATAATAATATTAATAACATATACACTGAGTGGCCAGATTATTATGACCACCCGATGTTTGTAGGCAAATTAGCTATAATTTCGTGCTGAAGTTGCTAGAGGCCCAGACCATTATAAATAGGGAAGCAGGTTGTTTACCACGACAGTAGAAGTGATTTTTTTTCGGGAGATACGGGTAAACAACATGATTTAATAGCCTTTGAACATGGGATCTATGTATGTGTGTGTATGTATGTGTGTGTGTGCGTACACACACACACACACACACACACACACACACACACACACACTGAGTGGCCAGATTATTATGACCACTTGACGTTTGTAGGCAAATTATCCGTACACTGCATCGTATGGGATATGGAAGCTGAAGGCCTGTTCGAACACCTTTGCTGTCTGCAGTTACCAAGATAAAACGTCTCCAATTCGCACAGGAACACAAGGATTGGACAGTCGAGCATTGGAAAAAAGTCATGCGGTCTGATGAATCACGTTTCCAGTTGCATCATGCAGATGGCAGAGTGAGAATTTGGCGGAAACAGCATGAAAGCATGCACCCCACATGCATGAGTACAACCCTTCAAGCTGGTGGGAGCAATGTTATGGTTTGGGGCATGTTTTCCTGGCACAATTTGGGCCCTTTAATTCATGTGGAACAACGTCTGAATAGCACAACATACCTAAGTATCGTTGCTGATCAAGTTCATCCTATCATGTTGATGGCGTATCCCAATGGAGATGGCTTCTTCCAACAAGACAACGCGCCATGCCACAGTGCTCGTATTGTGCAGGAGTGGTTTCAAGAACATGAGGGAGACTTTACCTTGCTTAGGTGGCCCCCACAATCACCAGATCTCAATCCAATTGAGCATTTGTGGGACGAAGTTAATAGAGCCATCAGGCAGCTGGTTCCACAACCATCAAATCTCACAGAACTGGACAGTGCTATTCATCAGGCATGGTGTCAGATTCCTCGCATCACCTTTCAACATCTCGTGGAGTCAATGCCAAGAAGAATCGCCGCAGTATTGAAGGCAAAAGGTGGCCCAACGAAGTACTGATGGGGTGGTCATAATAATCTGGCCACTCACGTTCAAATATATCCCACATTCAAAGGCTGTTAAATTGTGTTGTCTACCCATATCTTCCGAAAAAATCACTTCTGTCGTGGTAAACAACCTGCTTCCCTATATATAATAGTCTGGCCCTCTAGCAACTTCAGCACGAAATTATAGCTAATTTGCCTACAAACGTCAGGTGGTCATAATCTGGCCACTCAGTGTGTGTGTGTGTGTGTGTGTGTGTGTGTGTGTATAGCAATCCTTTAAATAAATAAATACATATATATATGTATTTATTTATTTAAAGGATTGCTAGTTAGTGGCAGAGCGAAGTCTGAAAACCAGGGCTCTTAATTCCCAGTCCAGTTCTCTTCCCATGATGCTACATACCTCATTGGGGCTTCTTGGAAGCAGCTCTGTGCTTTCTTCCAGCCTGTGCTTTGCTTCAGTTTGGGTGTCTTGTTTATCTGAGCCACCACCAGGAAGGGTTTTCTAGGAGGGAGAGTTGGAAAGTGGGTATAATGCCCTGGATTCTGGCCTGGACTAACCAGTCATTCTCTTGCCCCAGCACCCCCTTTTGTGGCTCGGGAGACACTAAGGGCCTGGCAAGAGAAGAATCACCCCTGGCTGGAGCTCTCCGATGTCCATCGGGAAACAACTGAGAACATCCGTGTCACTGTCATCCCCTTCTACATGGGCATGAGGGTATGTGCCCGGCGTGGGCCCCTTCCCTCAGGGCTAGGTCCCCAGATTCTGTATGGTCTTCCCAATGTGACTGCTGGAGCAGGTTCCAAATTTCAACCATGTGCTGGTGCTTCTGCTTCCGAGTCCTCCATGGCGTGGGGTTGAGCAGCCTCTTGACAAGGGCTGACACCAAGACCGAGAGCAGGGAAACCTTTGGGTCCCAGGAGAGTCCTCTAGGCTGACTCCTCTCTTCTGACTCAAAGGGAGCTGTGTTTATGAAGAACATACACATACTTGTCTAAATTGTAGGCTGATCTTCATACTTCTTATGCATTAGTCAAACATTTGTTGAGCTATTTCTTGCCTGGCTGTAAGCTAGGTCCTGGGGATACAGATAAAAATGAAACATTGTCCCTGCCTTCCAGAGCTTGTGATAGTGAGGGATGTCAATATACACCACACCAAGTATTGTAATAAGGTTGGGCTATGGTAGGGCCGAAGAGGCGGGCAGTGGCCTGGGCCAGCAGTGAGGGGTAGGGAGCAGCAATTGTCAGGGAGGGTGGTCCAGAAAAAGGGACGAGTCCTGTGGCCGATAGGATAAGAAGGAGGAAGGCCAGCGCCAAGCCAGTGCTCAGTGGTTGAGCATCGACCTATGCCCCAGGAGGTCACAGTTTGATTTCTGGTGAGGGCATGTGCTCGCGTTTTGAGCTCGATCCCAGTAGGAGGTGTGCAGGAGGCAACTGATCAATGATTCTCTCTCATTGATGTTTCTATCTCTCCCTCTCTCTTCCTCTCCCTGAAATCAATAAAGACTTTTTTTTTTTAAAAAAAGGAGGAAGGCTAGGGATGGACCAAGGGAAGGCTGCCCCCCACAGTGGGCTTGTTGGCCATAGTTCAGTCGTCATCATCCACAGATATTCCCAGCATTATCTGTCTCTGCAACCTTCCTGGAATACATCTATTCCATTGGAGAGATGTTGAGTGGACTTAAATTCTTTGTGTTTTTTTCCCCAGGAAGCCCAGAATTCCCACGTCTACTGGGTGAGTGTCTCGAGGAGGAGGAGCTCAGGAGGGGTGCATGGTGGGGCAGGTTGGGAGGTGGGGGAGTTTACCTCTGGGGAGCGGGGGCCTGTGCAGTGCAGGTGTCAGCCTTTTTTGCCTTTTGGTCTCAGAATTCTGGGCACACTAGCCCAAAGTTTACTTTCTCAGATGTGAACTCTCTCACTCCCACAGTGGCGCTACTGTATTCGCTTGGAGAACCTTGACAGTGACGTGGTACAGCTTCGGGAGCGACACTGGAGGATATTCAGTCTATCTGGCACCTTGGAGACAGTGCGAGGCCGAGGGGTGGTGGGCAGGGTGAGCATCATCATTAATTGGGCCAGTAATGCCCAATTCCTGGTCCTGCACAGCAGGCTTGGGGGCTTAGTGTGTGGTTAGGGACAGAGGCTCTGGGTGTGAATGCATTGGTGAGAAATCTTACAACAACCCTGTGAGATAGGTTTCTTACAACCCATTTCACAGATGAAGAGAATGAGACTGTGAAGTTGAATAACTAGCCCATGGTCCCATAGCTAGCGGTGCAGGGCCTGGATTGGAATCCAAGTGATCTAACATCAAAGCTGATGTAGCCGTGGTTGGTGTGGCTTAGTTGAGCATCATCCTGTGCACCAGAGTCACATGTTCGGTTCCTGGTCAGGGCACATATCTAGTTGTGGGTTTGATCCCCAGTTGGGGCATATACGGGAGGCAACCGATTGATGCTTCTCTCTCACATCGATGTCTTTCTCTCCCTTCCTCTTTCTAGAATCAATGAAAATCATATCCTTGAGTGAGGGTTAAAGAGAAAAGCTGATATAGAGTTTTTTGTAGCTAGCACAGTGCCTTTTTTTTTTTTTATATTTTATTGATTTTTTACAGAGAGGAAGGGAGAGGGACAGAGAGTTAGAAACATTGATCAGCTGCCTCCTGCACACTCCCCACTGGGGATGTGCCCACAACCAAGGTACATGCCCTTGACCGGGATCGAACCTGGGACCCTTCAGTCTGCAGACCGACGCTCTATCCACTGGGCCAAACCGGTTAGGGCCGCAGTGCCTTTTTAAAAATCTGAATTTGAATGCCCTTGGATGGGGCATGCTCCCACTACTCCTGTTGTCCTTCTTCTACCTTTTACATGCTTGCATCTTCTGCTGATCCTTGAGGAGATCTGATTTTGCAATTCCTGTACTACCCCACCATTTCCTGAGAAATAAAGTCACGAGAAGTGGCAGGGGTCACATTGAACAAGCATTTATCCAAATTAGCAGGGACTTGGGGAAGCAGGGTGGGATAGAGAGTAAGAATAGGGCTTTGGAGTTAGTCTGGTTTCAAATGCCAGCTGTGTTCTTTACTCACCGCATAACTTGGGTAAATTATTTAACCAAAATCTCAGTTTCTTACTCTGAAATGGGGATTACACCTTTACCTTACGAGTACTTGGGAGACTTGAGTCAGCAAAGGTCTGCAGAGCACCGCCATGGTGCCTTGCACTTAGGCACTCAGCAAAGGGACGCTGGAAGGGTATTTACAGAGTAGGCCCTGTGCCTAGCATCTTTGCCCGGTGCCCTCAGACATTTAGTCTACGATGATCTTTCCCAGAGGCAGAGTAAGAGGCCCAGGTCCATGGCTGTGCAGTGGAGGAAGCACTGGCAGGCAGTCATTGTGGGAGGCATGAGGAGGCATCCAGTCCTGACCAACTGGCAGTAGCATCTGGCCCCAGGGTACAGGGGACTTGTCTGGCCTGACCTATTTTGCCTGAACCCTAACAGGAACCGGTGTTATCCAAGGAGCAGCCTGCATTCCAGTACAGCAGCCACGTCTCCCTGCAAGCTTCCAGTGGGCATATGTGGTAAGTGAGGGTGTGCTGGGGCTGGGGCAGGGGCAGTTTAACTCCACAGACACAAGCTGCAGGTCAGAAAAGTGGGGGCTCATAGCTTTGCAATTAATTCTGGGCCAAGTTAAGTCCTGAGATGGAGCCTTACCTGCTGTTCATTGTTGTGGGACTTGTCTGATTGTTTATGACTGTTTTCCAGTTCCCTGTGGCTTTGTCGAGTAAGGACTTCAGCCAAAGAGGTCTGGTGATTTGATGGTGCAGTGTTGCCTACATAGTTGCCTCCCCCCCCACCCCCACCCCCGCCCTCGGTATTTTACTCCTTAACCTGAAAGTGTAATTGGATTTTTAAAAATACATATTTTTATTGATTTCAGAGAGGAAGGCGAGGGAGAGAGAGAGAGAAACATCAACGATGAGAGAGAATCATTGATCGGTTGTCTCCCGCATGCCCCCTACTGGGGATAAGGCCCGCAACCTGGGCATGTGCCCTTGACCAGAATCGAACCTGGGACCCTTCAGTCCACAGGCCGACGCTCTATTCACCGAGCCAAACCAGCTAGGGCTGTAATTGGGTTTTTTATGCAGTGTGCATCTAAGGGCCAGAATCAGGACAGCTGTATTTTTTCTTCTCATGTAGGGGCAGGAAGGACTCTGGTTCTCTGGACCAGTGTTAGGCTGGCATGAGCCAGGCAGAGGAGAGCCCAGCCTGTCCTCTGCCGTGCTTCTGGAGCTGAGGACATAGGGCTATCCAGATCCTCAAGAGGGCTTCAGCCCTCACTCCCTCTAAACCAGCTTCTCTGACCCACAGGGGGACATTCCGCTTCGAGAGGCCGGACGGCTCCCACTTTGATGTCCGGATCCCTCCCTTCTCCCTGGAAAGCAATAAAGATGAGAAGACACCACCCTCAGGCCTTCACTGGTAGGCCAGCTGAGGCCCTGAATGGGCAGGCTCAGTCCTTGAACAGCTCTCATCCCACAATTGCTGCAGAACTCTCTCCATCAGTGGGCCACAGTGGGTCTCCTAATTGGTTGCGCCATTTGAATGTGGGGTTCTTTCTTTGGTGGGTGGGCTGTAACTTTTCTCCCGAAGACCCATGTAGGACTCCTCCAAGGCTGGCCTCCCTGTAAGCCCCGCCTACACTGTGTTCCAGTAGCCCTTTCCACCAGGAACTCTGTCCGGCTGCCACAGGCTTGGAGGAGTTTCCTAGTCGGTCACACAAGTTGTTTGGAATGTGAGGTTTGGTCAATAAACCAGTGCACGCTTGGCCATCCTCGCCATTTCTGCCCCCAAGGTCTCAGGCTCCCTTTTTGACCCAGTGACAGCCCTTGATTGCTTCCCTTTCTACTAGGGTATGTATGTTTCCCTCTTGAGGCTTGGGGTTGGCTAGACATCTCCCAGGATCACTGTGCCTCTCAGTCAGTGGGGTGGGGGCTGGGCTGGACTAGTTCTCTTCTTTACCTTCTGCCAAGTGCAGAGTAGGAGGCCAATATCAGGGTCAGAGGAGGGCCTGGCTTGTAGTGCTGGCCAACCATTGGCATCTCTGGCCTCATTGGGCCTGGGAGAGAAATGAGGCAAGCCAACCAGGTTTCCTGGAGCAGTGGGCCTGCCAGCCTTGAGCACAGATGTCAAGCTTCCAGACTACAGATGCAGAAATTCAGCCAAGGAGCTTTAGGTACGGGTGGTGACTAAGCCAAGCTACTTTGTGAGCTTTTCACACATCTCCAAGAGCCAGAGATGAAACATGCTGCATTTTGCCCTGATTCTTAGGGTTCCTGCTTCCCCACTACCATAGTGATTGCTAAAGCAGTCGTTTTATTCTTGAATTAATATTAAATCTCAGTTCTGGCCCTTATTAGTGTTGTCCTTAATCCTCCACCAGGGGGAGTCTGTGTTGCAGGACAACTGAGTGCAATGGAACTTGAGGGAGAACACGAGGTCAGGTGGTGAACACAAATACAAGAACAACATCCATAGCAGCGAGCTGACCGAGCTGTACTCACTGTAAGCATGGCTCTGTACCACTGCAGTGTAACAATTTTATTAGAAATTAGTGTTTGTTTCCATCACCTGTGCAGAACAACAAAGACTTGTAGTTGTATGATACAGAAGAAGTTCCCTCATGCCAGGACCTGTGCCATCCATTAGGCAGACCCGGTCAGATAACAAACTGAATAAAACCCAATATTCATTCATGTCCTTAACAGCAGGCTTCCAGTTTTTGGAGAAACTGATGAGAAGGTTTGACCTTCATCCACACTTTTTGTTTACATTTCCCCTGGGCTGCTCAGAGTTGAAAAATTCATACAAATAGTGTTTTCTGAATGGGGCTAGGAAATGCAAAATTCTCCAAGTCCTTACACCACACAGTCTGATTTAAAAAGCTAAGATTACTTAATTGAGCTTAGTTTTTCTTAACAAGGAAATATTTTCAATCAGGGAAAATATCTAGAGTCCCAGGAAGAAAGACTAGTCACTGAGCAGAGAATCTGAATGTCAAAGCAGTAAAGAGGTTACAGGAGCTGTGAAGGTCAAAGGACAATCATTAAAATACTTCAGTGGGGACCTGGGACTTTGAGTATTAAAGGGCATCAGGAGGACAGTTGAGGAAGTAGGCCAGTGGCCTCAGAATTATTTTCAGGCCAGTAGGCTCTGAAAAAGCCAAAGCCAGAATCTGGCCAAAGAAGTGGATTTGTCTTCATCCTATTACTTCACTGAGGGCTGGAAGAACTGTTTATAGCTGATCACGAGGGTGCCTCACCTGAAAGTCTTTATACATTGTGACAAGTGTAAAATACCTGATTAGAATCACATTTCCCTGCCCCATCATGTCATTTCAGGTCCTTGTTGAGTGTCTATTAACCCTGGCCTGGCATTTGCCCAGAGACTCTGTGGAATCAGCCATGAACAGCCACTTAAGGGCTTATTGTAAGAGTATTTGAGAGCTGAACTTGATAACTTATGTCCCTTCCTGAATGAGTGGGTACTGCTAAGTGGCTATGCTGCTTTGTTACTTGTTAGGCTGGCTGAACGTTCCTTCCTGATGGCATTCCTTTGGAAAAGAATTCAGATAAGAGCCTCCCAGGGGCCAAGCCAAACATAATGAAAACCAAAGCCCTGAAGAGGAACTTGCATCCTTGTCTAAGAGCTGGTGCTTGGCATCTCCATGGCTAAGTTACCCAACAAGAAAGAAAGGAAGAAACCTTTTAAGGGGCTTAGGCTGCTCACATTATCCTGTGTTAGAGACTCGCGCTGGGAAGAACCCCCATCCCCAACCAGGACACAAAACCAATAACATTAATTGGGGGGGGGGGGCGGGGAGCGGTGTACGGCCAAGCACACACCATTTCTGCACAGGGCTGCAGAGAATGCAGGACTGTCCAGTGGTCATGGGCTCCACAGCCTTCCTGCTGTGGCTCATGCTCCTGGCCCCTAAAACGGTTTTGGCTTTATAGTAAGGACATCATTCCGTGGAGCTGACAGCAAGAGAATCAAAAAGAGCAATCATGTTAGCCCCTAGGAGTCAGTTATGTGACTCTAAGATGTTGGGGCAAAGTGTCCTTTCTCACAGGGGCGTTACTAGGACCACAGGTCCCATCTTACACATCCTTTCTCAGCACTGTCTGGGCAGGCTGTTTGGCCAGCCTGGCAAAGCCAAAACTGGTCAGTGTTTTGCTTCTTCTATTTCCTACCTCAGATTGATTCTGCGGGAAGAGGGGATTAGGGTCAGAAAAAGACAACATAGGTCAGGAAAGAATACAAATCTCCTGAACAAAAGAACAAAGTGCTTTAAAGAAATAGATCCCAAAGGCATCGAGACAGGTCCAGGGTCTTAGCATCCTGGAGGGGTAGCAGGAATACCCAGTCCCCTCATTATTAGACCTATAACTATTCATTTCCTAGATTATTTTAAAACACCTCATCAAGCCTGTGCTTAAACATCTTAAGAGAAAAGGAGCCCCACCTTCCAAGAAACTGGGCTTCCACAGCACCAGCAGCACCTTCTCCACAGAATGACCCCACTTCCCGTGGGCCTCAGCTAAGCAAAGGGGCGTTCAGCAAAGGGCCAAGGGGATGCTCTTAGCAGGACGTGGGCACATTAATCCACTCACCCTGGGGGCAGAAGCAGCTCCCTGTCAGACAGGAAGGGAGATGCTGAGCAAAGGGGCCAGGACTCAGTCATCTGGAAGTGCTCAGGGAGCAGGGCAAAGGAATGTGGTCCCTCCCCTCCTCAGGCCCTCTGACCTCGCAGGCAGGGCCTATCATGCCTCTGGGTGCTGGAGCAGAAGCCCAGCCAGCAGCAGCGTGGGGTGGCCAATGGGGCAGGGTTCCACAGGAGGGGAGACAGGGTGTCCCATGCCCTGACTCCCTGAGGGTTTTGTCAGTCGCGATGGGCAGACTGGTGGCCGAGCTGACGGTCATCGTAAGTGCTGTAGCGTTTGACATGGATGCGACGGACACGGTCCCGTAGTTCAAAGGTCTCCTCATCTTCACTGGGGGAAGCCTGGCTATGGCTACGGCTTGTAGCCTCCAACAAGGAGTTGTCAGGGACTCGCGGGGTCTCGTAGAGTAAGACGTTGAGTGTCTCCTCATAGATTCGGGCCTCTGGAAATTCCACCTAGGGTGAGGGTGACAAGAGGACTGACTGAACAAGATTTCATCCCAAAGAGGGAGCAGCATGTCAGGGCCCCTGACCCTGTGCTGGCTCCTAAGGCCTCCTGACCTCTCTCAGGAGACAGCTGGCTTTCTGTTTCATGAGGCCGAGGCAGGTCTCCCTCGGAAGGCGGTGTGAGATGTACCCTATGCACATAAGAATGCAGAAAACTAGCACCATCCATGTCCTACCGGGTCCCAGACCAATGGACTAGTATGTGCAGAGGTTAGGGCCTTGGCTTTGAGGTTAGCCGAGGTACAAATACAGCTCAAGTACTTAATAGCTGTGGGGCCTTGGGCTTCACCTTGCTACGCCTGAATTTCCACCTGTATAAAATCATGGTTAATATCCACCTCGGAGAGCTGTGAACATTAATTGAAAGATGAATAGGCATGCATTCAAGGCTCCTGAATTCTAGACTAACTTGTGTCATCTTGAGCTTCTGTTCCCTCATCTGCCAAATGGGGAGAATGGCTCTAGTCTTGCCTCTCACAGATGTGGTATGTGAGTCAAAAAGTTCATGGAAGAGAAAGCACTCAGGAAAGTAACAGGTGCTGTTGCCACTCCCACAATGTAACCAACCCTCCCAGAGACTGCCCCCTGAATCCTCACTCCGTTGCTATCTGCACATGGGAGCTCCCAGCCCAAAAAATGACAGGAGGAAGCAGGGCCACCTCCTTGAGCTGTCCTCCTCTGCCCCTCTAACCGCCCAGCTGTAGGCATTTTAGTAGCCTGGGGGTCAGAAGGTAATACATGAGCGTGGCTGCTTTGAGCCCTTCACATGCCCATGACTCCCCCAGAGGAGCTGCCCTTCTACACCAGCAAGGCCTGGCCGTCTCCGGAACATACACTCTGGTGGGCAGCTACTCTCCGGGGAGGACACCGACCCTCACAGTGTGGGAGAGCGGGGTTAGCTGAGCTTATAACTGTCACCTAACACATCCTTCACGCATGCCTGGCACTGTTGTTACTGCAGAGGCTAAGCTGACTGAGCAGGAAACCCAAGTAGCAGGGGCCAGAGAAGAGATCTCAACAGTTATTTCCACTATACTGCACTGCTTCTCTTAAGAATGGTCTCATTTTCATAATAGCTCTTAAATTTGCACTATCATTCCCCTGTTTGCAAATGAGGAAACCGAGGCTCAAATGGTTTAGATGGCTTATCTAAAGTCAGAAAACTGGTAAATTGTGGCGCCAGAATTCAAACCTGAACTGGGCCAGCTCCAAAGACCCGGTCCTTCCCAACTGACCAGAACAAATAGTTTCATGCCATTCCCAAGCCCCCTTATATTGTTTTTTATCCTTGCCTATCACCATCACAGAGAGCAAAATGGATGCCCCTTTCGGTGTGTGTCCTGCCCCACCCATGCAGAGGGAAGCCCCTACCTTGGTCTGCTTCTTCTCCGTAGCATACACAATGGAGGTACAGCACACCTCTGCCAGCTTGCGACCCTGGCCATAGAATGACCAGCAGCAGATCTCATCACCGATGACGTCCTTGATGAAGAGCACACGACCGTTGAAGCGCAGGGAGAGCTTGTCAAACAGCTCAATGTTTTTCAGTAGGTGGTCGTCGGAGTTGCTGAAAAACCCAGGGGGGCCAGCAGGCCTGGAAATGAGGTTCCGCACAGGGAGGACACTACCTGGGCTCTCCCACCCCTCCCCCAGCACGCTGAAAGGAGGAAAAGTCAAGATGCCAGAGGGCACAGGAAGAGAAGCGTCAGGGGCACCTTCTGGGTTTGGGGGCCTGCGCAGAAAAGCAGTCGAGTTGGTTTTAAGTTAAAGCAGAGAGAACTGAGGGAGGGAGGTCTCCTCTCATTAGGCCTGGAAAGGAGGAGGCTTGCTGCTATCTTAGCAGGATTCTTCCTTTGCTGTGAGGGTGAAGGGAACAAAGAGTCACTGGGAAGATTTGGGACTGACCCTGAGCCTGCAGCCTCCTACAGCCTAACTGACCTGTTGAGAAGACGCGAGGGGGGGGGGGGCACAGGGTGGGGGGGCAAGGGGGAAACTGGCCTAGGACAAAGGTTGGCTTAGGAGGAGTCCCAGCCCACTGGTTTCCCAGTGTCCCTCCTCCACCCCACATAGGATAATGCTGGGAAAACACCTGGCATGCAGCCTGACATGACAGATGTTAAACGGGTGTTACATGTTCAGTCTCGTCCATTCCAGCCAGGGCTCTGCACCAAGTTCCAAATGCCTCT